CTCATTAAATACGATTATATTGTCCTGTAGACAAAGAGCAAATATATACTGTAGATATTAAGCAACCTCTGAGGAATGTCAAAGATTTCTAATAAGTTCGAAATATCTATGAGCATTTGAACATTATTTGTAAGCATGGCAAGTATGCAGTCGTTCTGCATACAAAACTGTCAAATACTATATTTTTTGATGAACTTTATTACACTTCTAATAAAGTCGACGTCGTTGGTTGCTTTATTAAGCTTTTTAGGTTTTTTTGTCGTTTTTGTATATATCTGTATGAAATAAAAAAATGTTAATCCATCGAATTGAATTGCCCATTCCGTTATAGGAATGAAAGTTAAAATAAAAATTTGTGTTCAATAGATGATTTAAAATATTATATCGACTAGACAGACAGCTTACTCGATATTGACGCTCTCGATACACAGAATTAATAATACCATTTGTCGAAACAATAAACAGAGATCACTTCTCAATTAATTTTATTATATTACAGTGTGATGTTTCAATTGCATGCAGTATCCTTCATGCTATCCAATACATAAGTATCGACATAGAACATTCATAGACAGTTAAGTTCCTCAACTCGAAACCTTCTCGGCTTGCAAGAACGGAACGTCTGCTTGAAATCTAGCAGAGTCATCGAGTATATTCTTTTCATATCTAACAATACATATCGATACTATCTCTTAGAGCAGAAGATTAACGCCTATCTCGAGAGCACCAAGTGTCCCATTACAAAAACACCGTTCATTCCACGCACTTCAAGAACCGAAGACGTTTAACGGGCACAACTGGTCGTCCTAACGTGTAGTATCGTCGATGTTATTCCACACTTAAACATGTCTCTATTGTCTCACAACGAACACTAGTAAATTTATCAACACAACACTCGGGTTTCAGTCCGCCGCGCTCGCGTGTGCAATCACTCGAATCTGCTGTAAGGCAACCGGGTCACGTGTCCAGGCATGTGGTCGATGATGACGAGCAGGAGGGGCCGGCGGGGGGCGCGGGGCTAGGCGCGCGGCTGCGGGGGCGCTGCGGGCGGGGGCGGGGGCGCGTCCCCGCAACGGGGGGCGCACTCCCCCAGCGACGCGACGCTGCCCACTGAGGGACGATCCGACGCAGCCGGCGACGGCGCGTCCACATCATTCTGCAACGATCCAACGCGCTCAGCTGGGGCGCCGCCCGCTACAACACCAGGCCGGTCGGGACGGAGGCGGGACCGGACGGGACGGGGACGGGACCAGGGCGAGGGGGGGACGGGGGGACGGGCACCGTTACTCACTCGCTGACCACCGGCCGTCGGATTACAAACGACGCCAACTGTCTCTCTCTTATCGGAACAGACATAAATATCACCAGAGACAGGTAACGGATATTTGTAAAGCGACGTGTACGGCGACATGTCGTGTGCTGATGATGATGGTGTGGTGTAACCGAATAACTATGAAAATAAAATTCCGTCTAGACTATGGATATATTTGAAATAAATAATGACATGGTAACAGAAAAGTATGGAGTTTTATTTCTAATCTTAAAATAATTCGTGTTAAGAGATTTAGTCGCTCAAGCGCTGTCTGCTAAATGAAACGAAGCTTCGTACATTTCGAATGGCAGTGAAGAAAAATCTATGAAATATTGACCGCAAAGTATTACGATGAAAAATAATTTCACAAAATGGAAAATTAAAATTCTATAACCGTGAAAAGTAAATGCACAGTGAATGGAAAACACCGGGAAAGCCAACATCATAAAATTGCCAACTCATCAATAGAAGATTAAATATTACTATAATTTGTCAACCAAAATAAATTATTTTTGTTTGTTTCAGCATTGGGAATGCAGGTTTACATTTTTAATAATAATTATTATTCTTAAGTACTGACAAAATAAAGTCGCATTTAGATACGATAGCATCGAACGTATACATGTACGTTATACGTGTACGTACGTACGTTATACGTTCCGCAAAAAGGTCCCAATGATAATAATGCTATCGAAACATAATAGATAGTTCCAATAACAAATATATGTAAATGAATTGAATTTTAAATAATGTGAAATAATTAATACCCGAGAAGTGAAATATTTTTTTATATATGTGAATACTTATAAATGGCGTACAAAGAACATATTTTTCAATTTAGCGCTGTAAGTTTTCACATCCAAATATAACTCACACGGAAATTGTTTCAAAAGTTTTTATTTAATTTGAATATTAGTGACACTTTAACGCAGTTCCTCTATGCTCAATTGGCTATTTTAGTCTGTGATTCGATAATCGTGGACAGCTAATTTATCAGCACATCGGCGAGTTCACTGGTGCGTAGGTTTAAGGCCATTCATAGATAAATGACAACGCATGCGTGTAAGGGATGTCCAGTTAATAGATATGTAATAGGCATGCACGAAAAATCCACACTACACACTATCTTAAATAAAACGTATTTATATAGCTCTAGCTTTCTCGATATCGCTCAGTAACGTTAATTTTAATTCTATAGACAAAACGAAAAGATGTATATAAATATTGACTATTTCTCTTCAAAAGTCTTTGTCTATTCTAAACGGATGAAATGCTAGCGATTGGCTGAAGCTGGGTGGTGAAAAGCGTTATTAGTATTTCAAATAAATTATAAAAATACATATATAAATAATAATAACTCTTAATTCTATATAATGACTTGTACATGTGACACTTATTAATACTTATATTCACTACTTAAAAAAATACTAAATGCCAGTTCAAAATATTCGTTATAATATTAAAAATTAACAAATAACTTCTACTTATTATGATATACTGTGAATACAATGGCTTATACAATACTCAACTCTAATATATTCAGCTAAGTAATAAAATACTAAATGAGATAAATATTTATTATACCTTTAGCACCGTATCATTGCAGTTACCTGTTACAACAAATGTCGTTCCCATCCTATATAAATAAGATTGGCAAATGATTAATTTCTAAATATTAACATAGCATACTAAAATCGAACTGATCGATGCTAATAATTCAGTAGCTTACATAAAAAACACTAGATCTAATCATTTGTATACTTATAAAATTTAACAATCTTTGGGTTGGTATCATTTAAAACTTCGAATGGAGTATAAAAGTATTCGAGTTTTCTAAAATTCGAAACATGCCTTCATATTTACAATTTATAATAAAAAAAAATAACATTAACATTTAAATTCTATGGATGCCTAATCGATACATCATAATACAAATAACAATTACTCCACATTAACATAGTTATAACAATTTTCTATGTAAACATCTAGTTATAGGATATACTTTTTTCTCTATTTTTTTTTCTAGCGCTAACATTTAGCGTAAATTTCTAGCGTTATAAATTCAAATTTGGAACTTCTATTTTCTTCTATGGGTTCATAGACAACATAAAGGTTTATTCAGACTGTTCCGGTAGCCACATGTATACTGTTTGCTTCTCGGTTTATCTACACACTTACTGTGAGCGACCTGCTTACAACCCAAGTAAGCACGCCTTAGCGCGCTTGTCACTTTGCCCTGACAATCAGCCAATCCGTCGATTTAATAAAACGTCAATCAAAATATTAAAAAAATATATCACACCAGAAACACAAAACAATTCATTGGTACCTCAGATCATAGAAAGTATATGTATATAATGAATTAGATGAACCTCCCGCACACCAAGGCATGCATTTTTCACATTGTTCGATCGTTGAACAACTTTCGCAGAGGTCGGTCATGAGATGGGTGACCAAAAAATAGTTTACATTGAGCTACTCCATATATCGGAAGGCACGTTAAGCCGTTGGTCCCGGCTGCATTTGCAGTCGTTAATACCCTCCAATCCGCATTGGGTCATCATGACCCATTCTCCTTAATCATCCATAAGGAAGGCCTGATGATGATGTTAAACAACGATAGCAAAGCCCACTAACCTAACGATCGGTTATTGGCTAGAAAAATCAACGAATATCGATAATTTAACAGTTGGACGCGATCCGCGCCTATTAAAAAACAATAATTTAATTGTAGACTTGCAATAATCGCTATGTGTTAGCGACCGTATTTGGTAAAAATTCCCATCGGAAACTTTAGAAAGTGCACGCCCAATACACGCAGAATCGTCAGAAATCTGTCACCTAACATAATTTACGAAATGCAAAGAAACCCCGATTTTTTCTATGATCTGATTTACAAACAATTCAAATATTCCTAAAGCACGACTCCATAATCCAGTTCTGCACTGTTTTTGATAGCGTTATCTGAGTTTCATCTATGAAAACAAATATAATGTGTATCAAATCTATCTAAATACAAACAAAAGTCATCATAGTTTAAGAAAATGAACAACACTTTTTTTTATTCAAATAAAACTGGTAATAAATAACAGCATATCGAAAATAAAATTGAAGGTATCAAAAGCATTTCTTATATCTTTTGTTCAATGTAAAAATAAATAAGAATAATATAATAGAAAAAAACATGCTGGATTAACGAATAGGGTTCTCACCACACTAACTCCAGCCTTTCCCTGCAATTCACAACATAGTTTGATTCTAAAGACTATCCTAACCTTAGATTCCTACACATAAAGATAACCTTTACTTCAAAATTAAATATACAGTGTATAAATAAGTACACAATGAATGGTGAATATTTATTATATGCACATATGAATGAAATAAATACATAAATTATAATAATATTATGGCCACAACCGTAAGCATATGGATACTTATCTAAATCTTATTATATTTTAGTTCAACCTGCATAATAATGTAGTGTAAAATTCTGAATGAACAAGTGATTTAAAGAATGAATATTTCATTTATAATTGACATTATTGTTAATTTCAAAATATAAATACATAGCAATCAAAACTCATTGCCGTATAAATACTTACTGAAAGCTAAAATTTTGTAACTTCAATCATATTTATCAGTATTTAATGTGTAATATTAATACTGAAAAATGACATTATTTTTTATATATGCCATATTATCAAAAGCTAATATAATTTGAGCGTATCGTTTCCTGCGTTTTACGTTATATCAAATGCTAAAATCGCAAAGCAGCGACAGAGCAAGCGACAAAAACTACGAGCAGGTATAGCCAGCGCCACGTGACGCCAAACCGGGGTATATTGAACTCTCTATCCAAGACACTAAGGTCAACTATCGCGGGATTTATCTTCTCTATGTGTTTACGTATAAATCGGGGTGTGAGCTCTTTCACAGTTACCTTCAAGGGCACAGGCGGTACTTCTAAATGGTAGCCGATGTCGCACAGGTTGCGCAGTAACTCGAGACCTGAAAATTACACAATTCACATTATTAGCTTTATTGCACTAGAAAAAGTTATAGTTAGTGAACAAAATTGAATATCGTGTTCGTTAAAGTGAATCATATTTATGTTTTTTTTTTAAACCAATAACATCAGAGATTAAAAAAATATGTCTATACACCCACTGCTTCAGTAAGACAAAACTGATGTCGCTCTCATCTATGCCTGCGTAAAAGGCTAACTAAGGAGCTTGTCAACCAATCAGAATGATTGAATCACGATCCTCGCGAAACCACGAACCCCACTGAGTGTGAGTAAGACAGACAATTAATTCATAGTATTTTACACCTTATGGTTATTGAAACAAAACCGACTATACATTTTAAAAGTGCATTAGGTCATCGCCAGAATGAGTCATATTAGTTACAATTACTGTACTTATGCTATCCCTGCTGTACCCTGAGATCGATAGCCAATTAGTGTCAACCTATATGTTTACAAATATTAAATTCGAAATTTTAAGAAATAGTACTATGTTATAATATCTGCGACAATTCTATACCAAAAGAAAAAAGTATGTACTGATAACAATTTTACCTTTTGGGTATTTTTTTTTAGTATCGTAACTACTGTAAGTAAAAATTCACTGGTAATTAAGTATAAAAACAAAATAAGACAACATCACATACGGGATAGAATCAAACCCACAGAGATGGCGACATGTTGAAACCATTTATAATCTTTTTGTTATGTATAAAATTAAAATCCACATAACTAAAATCCCTGATGCGTTTTCCTATGGTAAAAATTAGTATAAAGATGGGCGACCGTCCGACCTGGTTGCCTGTTGAAATGGTATCGCGCCTCCCACGCGTCAAACAGCCGGTTGTAATAGCGCGGCCCCGCCAGGTAGCCCAGGTACTTGTGAGTGGCGTGAGTCGGAAATACCCGCTCCATATCACCGGATTGTGTGAACTCGTCCTCCGCCTGGATTAGGTGACGCACGTCATCCGGCGTCAGGGTGGACAGGATATCCCTGAGGTACTGTGTACACAATTCATTTTAATACTAGCTGTACTACTCGTACTGTTATACGGGATAGCCGAAAAGGCTTTATAAGAAAAAAAAAACAAATATATATATATGCGGAAAGCTACGGAAAGGTAGGAAACGCCGTTTGAAATTTTATACTTGACGCGCTACTCCGCTCGGCCTTCCCCGTGCTAGCTTAGTAGCAATAGCATAACTTACATATGTTTGAGATTTGCAAACTTCGCGTGTATCTCTTGTTGCTATTTTTTTTTCTTAAGAATTCATTACTTACATAAGATTTATTATGTTATCTTATTTTTTCAAATAAAATATATGATTAAACTCGATATGACGACTTTTGCACGTTGTACTTTACACAAACGTCATTTTAACAAGGTGTCATGATAATTCGTAAGAGTCATAACTGACAAATTAAACAATATGACATTGATCCTTACACGATAAAAATCTAACAACTAAATCTGTGGAACTCTTGGAAGATTTTGAGTCACATTTTCACCGGTTTAATCTCATATGTTCAAATTATAATCTCTATATTACATTACAATAACAACGAAGCTTTACAAAATGAATAGTTAAATATTCTTACCATGTCACGGTCTTCCATATTCGTATAAATTATATGTTTGTCTCTTTCTTCTTTGGACAGGTACACAGTATATAATCTGCTGTCATAAGGTAGCCCCGCCTAAACAGACAAATAATAAATTAGTCATTGGGATTACTTAGATAATACTTTGGCATAATTGTTTTTAACGTTATGCTTAAATATTATTAAGTCGTTATGCGTAAATATAATTCGGACGATGAAAAGTATGTCATGTTTTGACATACAGATTCTAAAGATTTAATGTATTTGGATAGGAAACCCCATACCCATTCAGGTAAGAAATAATGTCAAGATACAAGGTAAAAAACAATATTAAAATAGGGAATGAATAATAATCTATGGATGTTTATATGTGTTACACACATTAAAAATCACAGCTTACTAAATAACTTTAATATGTCAACCGTAAACGATATAGCTTCCCATAAGTGAAAGAATTTTTAAAATTAGTTTAGTAATTTCAGAAATCTTTCCTCTTTATAATGTTAGAATAGGATATAAATATATATATACATACCAATTTATGTGGTTTCTCCTTAGACAACATTTCTAGGTTAGTTTTCAAGGGCACTTGGAACTGTGCGATGTTTAGTACAGTCGTCACCAGGGGACCCTTCACGTGGATGTCTAACGGTGACGCGCTGTGCAAGCTCGGAGATATATTCACCTGGCCACATTAAAGTAATACTATAATGCAAGAAAATCTTATGTTTGTTAGAATAGATGACAATTTAAGGTAATAGAGGATCAGACAACTTTCAAAAAGTATTTTAAATTAATCAATGAGGATTTTCTCAATAAAATATTTTTTATGTACATAAGCCTCATTATGTACCCAAAACTATGCTTTCATATTGACTTAATATTGATTTGAGGCGTGTAAACAGCAAGTCAGCGCACGTGACTTCATTTGTGGGATAAACAAAACAGATTTTCAGTAATAAAAATAAGAAATAATTGTAAACAATTTCATAAGCAAATGAACCAATAAATGACTCTTGAAAAATTGGTTGAACGTTAAGTAAATTGAATATTTTTTCGCACTTTTTCTATATATCACCTAATCACCCACAAATGACGTCACGCACTCTGATTAATGTTTCATGTGACATATGACACAGACTACAAGTATTACAATATTCCAATTTTTTAATATATCCATATTTATTATAATGGATAACCTTTAGATTTTATGAACTTTTAAAAAAACACATTTAAATTTTATAGAATTTTGTAGATTTTGTAGAAAACTATATTGTAGTAATAGTAGAATAAATAATTCTCAGAGAAATTAGCTCATACCTATTAATATCAAATATATTAATTGCAAGATTAGTACATAATCATCTTCGATTATTAATATTAACATTCCTTACCTCTAAAAGCCACGGTTTCAGATTTTCGTCTAACAGAACGTCGATGCCGAATAGTTCGTAGCAGTTATACCGTGAAGTGACATTAGCCTTCGTCAAGGAACTTATGCTAGCCTCGCCCGATATTATAGTTTTGATCACAAGATCCTTCATAGACTCCCATAATGCGTCTGTATCGACGTCTTTTTCAGTCTTTAAGTAGTGGAACAAAGATTGTAGAGTCCTAAAACAGTAAAAAATATTTTTTCAGAATAACTTGCACTGAAAGTTAGGATAAATGTATTGATATTCTTTTTATACGAAACTATTTTCTCATTTTAACTGATATTCATAAAGCCTTTTAATGAAGTAATCTTAAAAACAAAATTAACCATGAATTAATTATATTATAATGTAGATATAACGAAATCAGACATAATATATTTGAAATAAAGTTGATTTCACAACGTTTTTCCATTTCGGCCTGTGCACACTTTAACTTACCATTTATGTCCTTCACAAGCCGTGAAGTCTTCGTTCGGCGTGTAGTTCTTGGACAATCTATTGATCGAGTAATTTGTCAAATGCATGTACCGATCATTCAATGATGCCAACTCGTCATTATATTTTACTGAAAAAGACAATACTTTTTAATATGTATATTTTTTTATTATATATTTTAAAAGCTGCAATTGTCTATATGATTTAAACAGATAATATTTTCACATATATCAAAATGACAAATAATACATATTTATCATTAAAGATTAAGTTGTTATACGTCAAGATTTAATATTAACAAATTATAATCATGACAAATTAATTTAACACTAATACAACAACACACAAAATTATAGGATAAGATAAAGAAAATTGTATTGACTACATTTTTATTAATTTTTGATTTCTTTTTTTCAAAGCTATCATTCTAAACGCGTGATAGTAGACTTCCTAGCTAAAGTGTAGATAGATTACGCACTTTTTCGCGATAACTTTTATTAACTATTTACAAATCTATATATTTATTTACAAATATTCGTACTCGTAACTTTTGGCATATATCTAAATTAAGGTCTAATATCAAGTAAATTTAATTAAAATTCAGATTACGACAATTCTTTTCCCGTAGTACGCAGTAGAAGTAGGTATATTTATATCAAAGTTTCTTGTCGTTTCTTCTTAGTACAAAGTCTTCCAGCGCAGTTTTTCGAACCGATCTCGTAGCATTTCGTTAGTCTCAGTTTGTTGTTTATTAAGATCTTAACTTTAGAACTCACCTGAAGCGAACCTCGCCAAGCCGTCCTTATACAAGTATATCCTCAGAGGATGCACAGAAGTGACGAGAACGTACAACCTCATATCGAACTTGCTACCATTTATGAGGTACGGCTTCGACACATATCGCTGCACAACTACTGGCCGTTTCTTAGGGATTTGCGTCCAACGGGATACTACTTTAATCCCAGTCCCTCTGGCAGAGGCAGGCTGTAAAAATTAATGCAGCAATTGACTCATGGATCAAATATTTGTCAATAAAATATCAATTTGTAACTAATGGACGCTAATTAGTCATTTTCCATACCAATTCTGAATGTTAATTGTGGCATGTTAATGGCGTTTCAGCAACATTTTTGAGATTGTCCTTACTATTCAATATCAAATATAAATAATTTTTGTCATCATTCATTAATCAAGACACTACTAATATTAAAGTGGAAAAATTAAGTGAAACGCAAATTAAGATGCCGTTACCACAATCTTATCTCACCATACGTATGATTAGAACCTTATAGACCGAATTATATATAATAACATAATTTTTTTTTTTAAATAAATAGAAGTTGCAATTTTAATTAATCGAATAAACAAATATCTGTAAGTAATTTAAAGATTACTGTAAATTACTCATGTGCCCATTTTAAGCAAAGACTACCTGTAAAGTATTTGTCTTTTAAACAGAACTTTAACTAACCGGCTTTATGATCCATTTTTCATTGTTCGCCGCGTACTTCTCCCAGTCGTGTTTCAACAGTTTCATATCGTGTGGCAACACATAAGTCTTAGGCATAATCCCGAACTCGGACACGCCGTATTTAGTCGCCAGCTTCTGTAGGTTCCTCCATAGACGATCTTTACGACCTATTTGGAAGGTCCCCGGGAAGTGGTTCATTTTCTGACCGTCTTTTATCGCTCTGAACATTAGAGACTTCATATGCTTACCCCATATACCTATCCATTCTACAGTTTCTGCAATAATAGAGTTTAAAAATCACTTTATTATTTCTTTTTCAATTTCAATCATAATTTTATCCTAATTTTAATAAATTTAATAAAACCTAATTTAAAGTTTATTTCTTCATAATAATTAACAGCATTTTTCGCACGTCGGTTTAATTCCTTTCTTCGAGTAAAGAACTTTTCTACATTGTCTCGGATCTCAGTGTTGTGGTAGGTACCTACATTTTCTAAGATACTCCATTATATGAAGACTTTAGCTACTCATCTTGGAATATGAGCAATATCTGTGATTTAAAAAATATTTAATTATTTATGACAATAAATATGAAACAACTTACCTTCTTGCGGGCATTCTGCAGTATCACATTCGCTTTTAACTAATCTAAACCCAGAATTTGTTAGAGTTTTCTTAACAACTATTGGTGTTATGGTGGTGAGTTTCCATTTGAGATGCTTCTGTATTGGTAATGGTATCTTCAATGGTATAGTGTCCTCGTGTCCTACGAACTTGAGGTATGGTGGAACACGTGGAAATAGCGAAGGCCGGAGACAACTGCTAATCGTATCCGGTAAATTAAGGGGAGATTCTGTAAAAAAAAATATATACGCTATTACTAAAAATGAAACTCCTAAAGTGAAACTAAAAACAACTATACTTACATAGCAATACAATGGAATATACGGATTAAGGTAGGTACATATCGGACGAAAAATAAGTCACGTATCATTTGGTCATAACGTTAGAACAGATAATCTATACAAATATTATAATAAGGAATAATTTCTTTGTTTGCATTGAATAGGCTCCTAAACTACAGACAGAGCTACATCTTACGCGAGTGACATAGGACTAAAATTTACGCGAACAAAGTTGCGGAAAACAGCTTATATCTAATAAAGCATTCAACCTTATATACTCGACTTATAAATACGTTAGTGCACCAAACGCACATTATTCCGTTGATTCGACGCATATTTCATTAGATGTGCACTGAGCTTTATGGAATGAAATTTATATTAATACAATTAATAACCAGATTTAAATTATCAAAATCAAATCATATTTAATTGAAACATAGGTTACATATTAATACTAAGGTATAATGTTATTAAGTTTATATTACTACTATGGATTTATGGGATTAAGTTTATAATAATACCAGTGATTAAGGAGTTCAACTTTATATTAATACTAGGAAATAATGTGATTAAGTTTATGATTATGAAAAATGTAACCAAAATCAAAGGTAAACAATAACAGCTACTTACTACTTAAGATTTAATGCGAAAGTAATTAATGCTTAAAACATCACAAACAAGATAGCATTATCATACAAAAGATACAGAAATTACTATCTGCAAACTATATCGTGATGTTAATAAGTGTGTGAAGGTAAGTGTAAACAATTCGGAAATCATTGAAATTTTGCTGATTAATAGCAATTAACTATCTTCTCATGTTAGCGAAACTTAAAAGATAACAAGTCATAATTAGCTTCAAAAATTTCCTCGTGTATAATTTAATAAATAGTGTATTATAATTTAAAAAAGAACCCATTTTTTTAAAACAATATTTAAACCTATTTTATGTTCGATAGTAATCAAACCTTATTTCTATTTACAAAAAAAATGGGATTCCAAATTCTTCACAAACTTACAAGAAGATTTCCGTAATATGTATAAGTAAAATAATAAAAACTGGCCAAGTGCGAGTCGAGACGCGAAAACGAAGGGTTCCGTACCGAAAAGGATAAAAAAAAAACCACGTTTATTGTACGGGAGCCCCACTTAAATATTTGTTTCATTATTTATTTTTAAAGTTACTAAATAAACATATAATCTTTAAATAGCCAAGCGTCTACCTGTTGTCGTTATCAATATCGAGCAAAAAAAAAGCAAAAAATATCACGTTAGTTGTATGGGAACCCCTTTAATTTAGATTATATAAGACGGTATTAACGCGATAGAATTTCGATAGTTAGGTTTTTCACCTACCTATATTTCCCGACGTTTCGACCAGGTTACACCGGCCGTGGTCACGGGCTGACTGTTTCTGCGATGCTACGTCTCATCTTCTTGGTAGTATAAGACATGGCATTTAACTACGCTACGTAGTTAAATGCTACGTAGCGAAGTGATCCAGTAGAACTACCGTCCAGTAAAAGTGGATTCCACTTCAGAAGATGAGACGTAGCATCGCAGAAACAGTCAGCCCGTAACTACCCTAATCTAATCTAATGTACATATAATTTTCGTTCAGTTTACAAGGTTGCCTGGAAGAAATAACTTTTTTGTAATAAGGCCGCCAATTGTGCATTCACATTTATTGTATCCATATATTTGTTTTTATCCATTGGTGTACAATAAAGAATTTTTCATTCATTCATAATATACAGCCTGATGACAGACAGAAAGCAGTCTTACTAATAGTGTTCCCGTTTTACTCCTTAGGTACGGAACCCCAAATAAAACAGAAATATGTATATTTTGATGATGTGAAAACGTTTGTTCCATTAAAAAACGATTTATCTATTTACAAATATTCGCAACTTCTGTTCCGACTAAGTTTGAAAGGAAAAAAAAATATATACTTTAACGAGTAACCTTTGCGTGACGGTAGAGTTTTGAAGGGATTCGTCGTATGCAATGCTGTTATGAATAGCTGTTCCTTGGTAATCTCTGTAAACAATGTCAAAGTAGTTCGATGTTTACTAACAGTTTTATTATATGATTTGTCAGAAGACCGTACTCAAACGTAATGTTGTTTGTTATGTGTGCATGTTTTTGTAAGGACGAAAAGTCAAAAGCACTTTCAATAAGCTTCCTCCAATTAAAACGTCTTGTGTTTGATTTTGTAAATTTTCTGATGTAACAGTCAGATTGTAATTTTTTGAACTAACAGTCAGATTGCAAAAATAATTGTTTTGAATTTCATAGCATTGCTTATAACTTGGCTTAAGTTAGACAAAGGAAGCCGCGGGTTAAAAGTTAGTACACATCATTTTATTATTGAACTAGCGATGAATCGAACAACCCGTATTATCACATCTTGAATTAATTATATAAACTTTGTAGATACACAGTTATGAATTCATTGTTTCCCAGATAAAAGTTTAGGTAAGTACAATATTAAAAAATAAGAAATGATAATATATTTATTTATATGAAGTAGAAGCAACGCTTGCTTTTCTTCTAAATTGTTTTTTTCCGCTATAATAACTTTGATTCTTCTATAAAATATGAGAAATTTATTTATCAAGGCTAACAGAAATAACACGTATAACAAAAAAAAAAAGTTCAAATACTAAAACCCGACTACAGCTAAATCACGCTCTAAAAAGTTTGAAACGAAAATTATTTTACAGCAATAGCTTATAATAAATTACTGATCATAACAAAACAAACTGTTGTGGCATACGACTACGCTTTCCTTTGGTCATCGCTATTGCAATATGGTTATCGCTATAAAATAAATTTCTTGTTTCAAACTTTTTAGAACGTAATTTAGCAGTTTACCAGTAGTCGGGTTTTAGTTTTGAACTTATTATATCATTTCATTAATTTTCGGGTGTATTTAACCAAATCGCAAGCAAAAGCTATCAATCCTATTAATATTATAAATGTGAAAGTTTCTTTGTTTTGATGTTTGGATATTTGTCCGTCAATCACGCCAAAACTACTGAACGGATTTTGATGAAACTTGGTATACAGATAGGGTATTAGATGACTTAGATAATAGGATACTTTTTATCCCTAAACATTTCCTTAGGGACCACGTGGGCGCAGCCGTTAGCGAAAGCTAGTATGTTTATATATTTGAAATATATTAATTAAGCCCTTTCATTTGATACCCTATACGGAATGATTAAATAATCTCTTTTAGTTTCTCACTTTATGCTCTCTAGAGAGCGCCGCTACCAATTTAATGTAACGTCAAATAGCCTATAGCACGCGGACAACTAAGAGGCTTCTAACGATACGTCATGTACCAGTTACGATAAGTAGTTTCTAAGTTATTTATAAGGGAACTGATGAACATTCTTACATACATACATACAGGTCAAAATCATAACCTTTCTTTTCGCTTCGTCGTAATCGAGTAAATAGGTCATTCAATGTTACCAAACATTAATTACCTATCTCAACATATACGCTACGGGTACGACCTTCGTGATGTATTTGTAGCTAACCAAATATTAACATAAACTACAAATGCGATCAAGTGTGAACTAAAAGATTTATATTATTTACCGGAAGGAAACAAAAGGGATGTAATGATAAGGACGTTTGGTTTGCGATGTAGGATATTAAGCAACTTTCGAAGAGACCGGTTATCGGATGGGTGACCGAAAAAAAATTACTTAAGAATGCACATTAGGCCATTGATCATGACTACATCTCCAGTGTATAACACACTCGGTACTGAACACGCAGTGATAATGGAATGAAAATCACAAACTCACCTTTAGGTATATTTTTTGCGGAGACGACAGTTCCGTTGAGTTTAGTAGAGAGCTTATTGATGGGACCAGAGTCGGACACGTCCAATTTCAACTTGGTTGTCCGGTCCGGTTCGATAACAGGCTCTATTTCCATCGGCCACCTAGAATCTGTGATCGGATCGGGTGACGGCGACCTACTAGCACTGAAAATAAACAAATAATATAACTTCTTATTGTTCTAGACTTCCCCACTCAGTAGAGAGACTATTTCCTTTTACTCTTTTCATCTTATCATTATTTCCTTAGTCCAATGACGTTGTTTCTTTTGTAATAATAAACTATTTTTAGATTATATCTCTCACTATTCACTTCTATTTATCCTAAGTAGTGTCGACGATCTTTATCTTTGATTGTGGCCAAAGCAGGCTAATCTATTTGAACAAATATTTATATTTTGTTGGACTCAAAAACCCAACACAATAAAATCATTGGTTAGACGCTTATTATAATACAAATAATTAATCGACACCATAAGTGTGATCCATTTGATTGAAGTTAAATCTCACGGGGATTGGAACTATCAAACTAAAACGAAAAGATGTACATTACATCTTTCAAATCTTTGAATATGCAGTACTCACTCTTCGGCCTCTGTGTCTACAACGGTACAATCGATTTTGCTGCTAGTGGATTTCATCTTGGACACTTTGACCTTTTGCTTGACCTTTTTCTTGCCGGGCTTGACTGCTTTCTTGGCTGAGAGCGCGGTCACCGAGCTGACTGGCAACGCAGGACTTACCGCCGGGCATGTGGGTGTCGGCGTCTCTTGGCGTGGCTGTAAGTATCATTAGAGCTGGGTAGTATCTTATTCTTATCAGTGAAAAGACTTCCTGAAATGTTGAACGATTGAAAAGTACTCGAAACAAGTTTATTCGAATAAACATATATTGACTTTGATAAACAAGTCTTGTCTATATAATGGTAACGCGGATCTTTTGCGGTATGAACAGAGAACTGAGTGCTATAAGGCACAGTTTTATGTCTTTAGCTTTTTAAACAAGTCTTGATATTAAATTCGTAACTCCAAATAAGCATACTTATTAAGCATAAGCATCTTTGTGTGGTAGTCAATATCGCAGTGGTAGGAAATAGATTAAATAAAGGAAAGCCTATACATATATAATTTTGTTCACCTATTCAGTACTATAGTTACGCACATGAGCACATTGTAATAAGAAATTAATATTGTGTAGACCAGCGTTCTTTATCGCAGGCAGTTTTGGGATAGGTCGTGGGAATTCCCAAAAGACGCTTTGAACGCCATAATCGCTGTCATTCTGACATATAATGTATATCAATATTTGTTTTTTTTTGCATCAAATAGACTACGAAAAAATTCAAAAATTCTTTTACCTACGGGTAACGGGATTGACATAGGCTATGATTTAAGTTTGCGAGGTCGCAGGAAAACAGCTAGTTTTTTTATAATAACGCTAATTTTAGCAAACTCTGAACATACCCAGTAAATTTAACAAAGAGTTTCAACACACAAATTATACGTATAGTAATTTGACAACTGTCTCTATTATAATAAAATAGCAAACATTTAGCCAAATATCTAGTTACTTTCGTAGCATACCCAACATTAGAAAATTGTAACGAAATTAAAAACGTTCAAAGTAAAACTGAACATATATTCGTATATTTTAATCACGTTTTGGGCTTTCGTTCAATAAAACGTCTACTTAATATAATTGGAGCACTCACGCTACTATTTATTACGTACTTAATATTATAAAGAGGAAAGATTTCGTTTTTTCTTTACTTTGAATAGACTCCGGAACTAGTGGATCGATTTTAACAATTCTTTCGCATACTACATCATACGGGGGGTGACTTGGGCTATAATTTACGCTTGGGCTGAAACAGCTAGTATCACTATAAAACTATATGTGATTTTTTTAAGTAGTGATAATAATATTGTTATAAAAAAGAACTGACTGAAACCCGTGATTTAGAATTGATAACAATTTGTTTCTAAACACGCAATCTATACTAATATTACATAGAGGTAAAGTTACAACTTTGTTTGTTTGGGCGGTAATCATCGGAAATACTGATTCGGTCATTCAAACTTTCACTTACGACTACATAATACGCGGGTGACATAGGTTATAATTTACGCATGTGAAGACGTGGTGAAACACGTAAAGAGCTACAAATATGAGTTATAAACATAAGTATTATCACAAAACTACTAACAGTATTATATATTTTACTCGTCACTTATGCTTTTTCTTATTTCTTAACAATTTCATTTCATTTTAGTTACTTTCCCAATAAAAGCTTAATAATTTATAGGTACATATAAATGACTGAATTAAATATGTTAAAATTAACGGAAATATCATAATGATGCATTTCACACTCACGCACTGGTATTATTTCACCGATCGCTTTGGCAACCGGCGCGGCATAATTATTCTTAAACACATTCTTATTGTATTTTCATTTGCACCTTGGACACACGCGAGCAAAGTGATTTCAAATATAACTGCACAAAAGATGTCAAGGCAAACATAGCAAGGGTCAACTAAAAAAACTGTAACATTTTTTTAAACGCACAACCAAATAATCCCTTGTCCTTGTAAATTATGAAATTACAAAACTTTTTTGTTATATTAATTAATTTAATAAAGCACTGTCAATCAATGTTGGATCGATACAGCAAAGTAGAATAAGTGATAATGCATCGTCGTATTGACATTTTGTACAGTTTGGCAACAAGCCCAGTCCCGTGAAGACATATTATAATCTAAAGTGTACCGAATTAAACAGACAATGAGATTATGAGACATAGTTCAACGAGATCAGACCGCATGGACGGCGGCGTATACTGGTCATTACAGTCCGCAAGTTTCTTTGACAGAAACTGATAACTTTCTTATTTTAACTTGGCACATAATAGAGAAAACGCAAATAACTTTTGCATATACTGTCGTCAGAAACAGTGTGATCTAATAGAATCCTTGGTTGCAGATTCAAAGATGGAGGATCCACGATCCAAACGACATTACGTGTAGACATAATTGTAATTATATTTTCATTAGAAACTATAAAACATCTTGCTTCCAGTCAGCGACTTTTTCAGCGCTTAAGATAATCTTCTAATTAGAGTATTTAGCTTGACAAATAGACAGAATTTGTCAAGCTAAATAAGCTGATATCAGGAGTTCTAAAAGCTGGCGAGCATGCTTGAGAATTAAAAAAGGAAAGATGTAGGTAAGGACCGTGCATTAGTTTATTTCTATTGCGTAAGGCATCTGACGTGAAAATATATATAGGCATCTTAGTCATGAAAAAGATTCAAATTAGCAACCGCTATAGAGGCACCTACAATTTGGATTCGTCAACGGATCCTACACTAATACATGTTATTTTACTTTGATAATAAACATTATTCAGAAAGCTCTCAACTTACACAACGACATATTTTCCTCAAAATCTTTTTCAGTTTGCGCATATTCAACGTTATCAACATTTTTAACACAACTACGGATTCATCGCAAGTATGATTTCAGCTCCGTAACCACAAAATCTTGCAAACACTTTTCAGACAATCCAGCGTCACAGCTCACCAGCGTCACAGCTTCAAACACGTGTCACACAGTAACAATATCATCAAAGTGTTAAAAATACCACACAGAACATTCTGCAACTATTTTCACGCAAATTATTCACGATTTACTCCATATGTGATACTATTAGTACGTCAGCATTGTTCAAACACACGAATCAAGAGGAAGCCGGTAACGAGCGGTTAAGAGGATTTAAAATACATTTTAACGCTATTTCAATGCCAGAACGAAAATCCACATCTATTTGTGTAAACGTGTTTTCACTGAATAAAACGGTGAATGATTAATGAAAATTAAAAAGATATCACCACTTAATAACATAGATTAACCCAAAAACAGAAAGATTAAAGATAAGACATAACTGCATATTAAATTACATAAGATAGAAGTAAATCACAGCGACTGTTTATGATATCTATGAGGACTAATTATAACGTGTGTGGTAGACAAGTAAAAACCTCAACAATCTAAACGATGCGTGCTACTGACTGATTATAAACACGCCTAACTTCTACCCATTTATCTAAACTCATGTGTTAAGAAAATACAACCCATCTGTGTTCAAGGTAATTTGAAACCTAACCACATAAGTGTATTGAAATTGTTCTAGAATTATTTATACACATGACTGTAAAGGTGATTGCACATCTATCGGAATGGAATGTAATAAAGTAGGCGAAAGAAAGCTAATTCTTTATGAACCATCCCATTTACTCGCCAAACCCGCTTCGAGCCTGATTTATATGGGATAAATATGAATTTGACAACATGCATATAATAAATAAACTTATTATTATGTGACTTATAAATTCTATAATTAGTATTAAACCTTCAATAGAAGATATCAACCAATTTCTAAATAATCCCATAGCCAAATATAAAATAATATGGTAAACATAACAAAGCAGTGAGAATGAAGAAAAACGAAACAGAAAATTAATAATTTCCAATTAGGTACTGTAACATCCTAACCTTAAGACTAAATCCTAAAATCGAAGCTATTTTAGGATTTAGTCTAAGGTTAGGATGTATTCTGGACCCAAAAACATTTGCAAGTCTACCATAGATACGAGGGTCAAACTGAAAGTTCTTAGAACTGGCCACTTATAAACAATATAATAAAAAAATAATTCTAAAATTTGAAAATATAACTCTTTGCCAATATTACTGAGTATATATTTCATTCATTTGTCATTTGTTTTACGATTTGGCGGCAAATTGAAAATTGTCTGTGTCACGTCATCATGAATTTAACACGAGAAAATTTTCGTGCAATGATTTTTTATGACTTTCGATGTCATTTAAGTCAACAAGAAAGTTATGATAGACTACGATTGGCCTTTCACGATGAAGCCCCATCTCGTGCGACTGTTTACAACTGGTTTAATGAGTTTAAACGTGGTCGCACTAATCTCACTGATGATTTACGTGAGGGACGGCCTTCTACGGCGACGACTGAAGATAACATCTGTGTTGTGCGGCGTATGATAGAGACTGACAAAAGAGTGACCTATCAACAGATCCGGACAAGCTTAGGCATCGGTATGAGTCAAGTGCACAAAATCCTCCACGAACATTTAGCGGTCAGGAAGCTTTGCGCCCGGTGGATACCTCATAATTTGACTGAGGCTCAAAAACTCCATCGTGTGGATTGGTGTCGTAAAATGATTGAAAGATTTAACGGAGGTGACTCAAATGCTGTGTTCGACATACTAACAGGTGACGAAAGCTGGATTTACTGTTATGATCCTAAAACCAAAAGACAATCTGCTCAGTGGGTGTTTCCTTTCGAGGAGTTGCCAACTAAAGTGAAGAGAGATCGAAGTGCGGGAAAAAAAATGGTGGCCTCGTTCTTTGGAAGGATAGGTCATTTTGCAACAATTGTGTTAGAGGATCAAAAAACAGTTTCTGCAGAATGGTACACTACCAATTGTTTGCCACTTGTCTTGGAAAAAGTTCGAGAGAAACGACCTCGCAGTAGGATCCTCCTTCACCACGACAACGCCTCGTCGCACACCGCCAAGCGAACGATCGACTATTTGGCGACATCAAACGTTGAATTACTGGGTCACCCGCCGTATAGCCCCGACCTCGCGCCTTGTGATTTTTATTTATTTCCAAAAATTAAAGAAAAACTTAAAGGAAAGCGTTTTATGAATGCTGAAGAAGCGGTGGCTGCGTATCGCGATGCCATTGAAGAGACCCCTAAGGACGAGTGGGCAAAGTGCTTTTCCCAGTGGTTCCATCGCATGCAGCGGTGTATTGACGTGAATGGACAATATTTTGAAAAGATATAATAAAACTAATAACTGGCTAATGTAATCAGTTTTTGATTTTCTAAGAACTTTCAGTTTGACCCTCGTACTAGATAATTAGCAAAGACGAATTTTATTTTGGTAGTAATACAATTGAATTTCCTCTATATCATGATTGGGAATATTCATGACATTGAACGCGCGGATATCATGCAAAAGTGTATGCACATATGTAACGTGAGCACGAGCGGGTACGCAAGGTAATATGATTCGGGGCTTTTTATTTGCTATCTAAGGAATTCGAACTTTGTAACCAAAGAAATAAGATTGACATTAGATGTTAACGTCGTATCCCTATAACGTAAAAGTACGACTTCACTAAATATTCATCCCTATTGTTAATGTTAATGAGTATGTTGCTTCATTAAAAGCACTACCAATGCCTTTTCTTTTATTAATATGATAGACATAGATAATAAATAAAGAAAAAAATTAACAAACAAACCAAGTTCACTCACCATTTCCATAATAGGTGCCTCTGCAATTGTATCACTGTTGATTGCAGTTGTTCTCAAAATTTGCATATTATGAAATTCATCTTTGTTAGCCAAATACACTTCTTTGCATGAACATCTCTGACTTTTTGAGTAGCTAGAAATAGTTTTGGTGGATGTGTTCCCGACTGAAGCAACTGCAGTCCCATAAGAGTACCCTGAACCGGAATTATCTTTAGCACGCTTCATGTTACTTGACAGATATGACAAACGGCTGAAAAAGACACAAATACCATCACAATCAAATCAATGATTTGAATGCTCTTTAGAACCACTTGCATTTTTGATACCAATGTATTATTTACATGTAATTGTAGATTTGCCAATACAAATGTTTTAAAACTTAAATTTGAAGTGGTAACAATAAGACAATTCAAGAATTGTGAAATGTATGTCCTTATAGATACTGTAAAAGCTCAGAATTCTTCATAACCAATGATGTTATTAAAAACCCTGGACTCTGCTGCAAAATTTACTAAAGCAACCCTGGACACTATAAAACCAGAATATGAATTGCATTAAGATTATTTCTCTACTAACTGCTAACACTGTACCAAAACTATTTTAACATATTATAAAGAAAGTATGAACTTTCATATCTTTTTAGTAATAAAAGCAAGATACTTTTCTGTTGATTTGCTCTTTATGTGCCCTATGATTCATTTGGATTTCCATAAACTATTCCAAAATATACTATTCCAAGTATGGTGCATTAAGCAGTACTAGTTTTAAAATAACACATATTATTTATATAAAATGATAACTTTAGAATTTATCAATGCATTATTATTTTCATAACAACCAACTAGATTTTGAAAAACCTTATCCATAATTGTTATTTATTTATGCAATGACACCTACAAGAAATTTTAGAGTATCAAAGTCTGCCATTATGATACCATCAATAACATAACAGTTGCTTGGTTAAGGATTACTATTTATTTATTTGTAATGTTATACATATTGTGATTGCAACATCATAACAATTTTTTTTTTTTATAATAGATTTGTGTATGAATCTGCACTTAGTACCATAATAAAATATTATTGGACATGGACTATGGATATGGACAAACTAATCAAATGATATTTTTATTAAATTGTATTATCTATCTATCACTATAAAGGAAAGGTCATAGATTGGTATCCCATCTGAGAATTGTGATTTTTTTCTAGTATGATTGATTTTTCCTGTTTGTCCTAGATAAACAGAGTAATACTATAAATATCCTTTCACAAATATAAATCAGCAATATTTCATTTTCTAAAAAAAGGCATATTATGTTCAAGTGGTTACTAATGAGAAGTACCTAGTAAATTTGATGAATTTTCCATTCACAATACTATATTGATATATAACTTTAAAAAATTACAAATTCCAGGTAATCCCATCTTAGGTAGCTAGTCAATATTATTATGCATGTTTCTATAAGATAAATAACATACCTGTCATAACCTGGTATAGGTGAAGCAACATGAAAATTACAAAATAAATTATCAGATTCACTGGCAGCCCTTTGTCTCCTACGACCCTCACTCGATTTATATTCCTGATACAACTTGCTCTTAGGTTTCTTCAGTATACCTTGGGGTGGAGATTTTGGTAACGGATTATTAAGTATAGATTTAAGTGGTTGTTTTGCCATTTGCACTTCCATCATCTCTTGGTCAACTCTTTCGAGCAACTCATCTACTTTTGGTAATCTATCATCAAGTTTTGTATTAGATAATGTTGTAACTAGCAATGGTCTGGTTGGGCTTGTTCTGTGAAATTTTGATCTACCTGGTTGATATCTGTAAACAATACATCATATAAATAGGTAACACTCATAAGTCAATAACTCTATTTGAAATGAAATGAATTGAAATTGTCTTTATTCAAGTAATCTTGTTACAGAGCACTTTAGAATCGCCCAAAAAAAATTTTTTCCTTTACCACTTGTTCAGGACGTCTTTTAGCTGACAAGAAGGACAAGCAAAAGAAACTTACAGCTCTTTATCATAAAGTCATTTCATTTACATAAATCATGTCATTACCAAAATAATATTATTTAATTTAAAAAAATATATTATCTCTTCAATGAAATTCTGATCATTCTCTTTACCTTTCACACTTCTCTTTATAAACAAACTGTTAAATACCATATGGATATTTTGAGGTTATGTTATTATAATTTACTCACCCATGGTGCCTGTTCTGTTCTTGTGCCATGATGTAATCTCCGTTCTGAGTGGCAGGTAGCATGCACTCGTGTGAGAACCGGTCGAGATGATGACCTTCGAAATTGTTCAGTGTAAAGTGACTTTTGTTTGGTTGAGCTCGGTGGCGAGGATAACCGTCCGCTGATCGGTTCGTCTCGCGACTAACATCCTCATACGGCGACCGATCCACGCCTTCACTGCGACAACGTCGCCGCAACACGCGGGCTGGTGCTCGCCCCGACCACTCAAACACTGACCCTAAAGGATCGCTCGCGTCAAACCCGGCTTCGTAACTTGGGCACGCTCGCCTGCTATCCATATCCAACGCGCCTATTCGTGACGCATCTTCAAATGTCCACATCGATCGGACACCACCAATTTCACTATTGCACTGTTAATTTTAAAGGTAAAAACCACTGAAACATGAGCTCCAAACGGCGTCGACGAGGCTACAGCGACAGATGACAGATCGCTTTCTAGGACCGCAGACTGCCAGCTCTCTAGTCCCGCCAAAATTGAAAGAAAATTACGTTCTTTTTATAAACAAATATGCTACGAACCTCTACGCAGATAAAACTCCTACGAAATTAACGTTTTTGGAGGGTTTACCTTTATTTACTGTATACGACGCTCACATCAAAAGAAGATATTTAATGGCGCTGGAACCGTAAGTGACTGTAATGTAAGCCACTATTTCGATTCAACGTAAATAAAAGGTTGATAATTATCATTTGAGTGTAATTAACTCCCATCTAGTTAATAAAAGCCTATTGACTGGTCACTGGATTTGAAAAAATCAATAACTCCTACAAATTTAACAAAATAAATACTTCCCGTATTCAAAAGTAAAATTTTACGAACTTTAGGAACGATGTGATGATTTACTACATTAAAGTACTACATAATTATAAATTGACCAAATATAAAAGTCATTTGTAATATGCGTTCTCGTTCTAACACATTATGTAACATACACAAAAAAGAGACAACGATAGAAACTGAACTACTTCATTACTATCTTTACAAAGTGGCGGGATAGCAAAATATATTCATTACATTTTTTGAATGAAAAATGGAAGCCATTTTATATTTTTCAATGTGGCAATAGGGATGATGACTGGTTTTTGTTTGTTTGTCCGTCAGATAGATGATTGAAGAATATTAAACATTTTTTTTTTGCGTAAATATTTTTCTATTATCTGATTGATGGACTAAATAGAATTTCTTTTTATTGTCGTGTTATTATGTTTAGACTCAGCGAAAATGGCAAAACTTGTAGTTTCTTACTTACTCTATGATGGCAAGTGATGGCAAGATTCGGCGTTCACTGGCACACATTCGATAATAAATAAACGGAGAGCTCATTATGATACCACGATTCCTTCATTTTAAATGTTAATTTGTATTTTGCTCTTAAATATGGCATAATTTATCATATAATATGAAAAGAAATGGTCAAGTTAGGTATACATTAAGTACCCAGTGCGGAGGTCAGGCGCTGGAACCTTAGTAAAAGAATCATGTCCACTCTCCTTATATTGATTGACCTGTAGTTCAGTCTAAGTTTCGGCTGGAACAGAAACCGTCTAACGGCCAATTTAGAGTTCGTTGTCACGGCTCTTCGTTTATTAGAGAGACGAAATGTTTTCTCTCTAATAAACGAGGCAATCGGCAAAGGTGAAGCATTTGTTAACTCATTTATTATTAGTAACCTAAAAAGAAATTTCCTATTTGAAACTTTAAAACTGAAGGACTTCCACATAAACCTTCAACCCTCATTTCACCCCTTCAAGGGTTGATTTTCCAAAAATCCCCTCTTAGTGACTCATTAAGAGAATATTTTGAAAATTCTCTACTAATCATGTAGAGAATTTTCCAACTTCAATAGTTTATGTTTGGTTATGATGAATTAGTCAATTAATCAGAACAAGTTCTTTTTTAAGTAGGTATATATTGATTACGAGCTCTTTTACGTCATGATAATCTATACTAAAATATTAATTTCTCTTAAATAATTCAATATTCTTTATATACCTATAGTTCTTTCTTTATTAAAACAATATAATATTTATGCCCTCTGATCGAGTAATTATCAGACGTTTATCGGGCAAATAAGATTTAGTCCCAAAATGCTTGGGTTTTTTCCCTGTTTATTTCAATAAATAAAAATTTGAGTATTTTTTTATGAACGATTAATAATTTAGTAATAATAAATTAACTTTTAACCATTACGAAATGCCTTTTCGTGGCCCATTCCAACACCAACTTTTGAGATCTGCCAGGGTACATGATTGTGCAATCTGAGCAATTTAATCTACTTTTTTATGTTAAAAATAAGTTTTTTACTAATTTTGAAATATCAAAAAGCAGCTTCACGATGTTATACGAATTTTTGTACTTAACACTGCCTCGCCGCCACCAGGTGTTCCATCCAGCACCTGATCTCCGCATTAGATACTGATTGATGTAAGTTGCTAGTAGTTCAACATACTGAATTATCAATCTATAGAAAGGTTTTGCATATTTTTGTCACAATCTCTTATACTTTATGTACGACACTAATAAATAGTCAATCGATCAGAGACCTACAACGGGGATGAAAAGACGGTAAAAAAAAAGCAATTCTATTTAGTCCGTAATGAAAGACAAGAAATGATTTAGATAACAGGCATTAAAGTTGAGAAGTAGGGCCTCGCTACGTCACAATTTTGTAGAAAATGTGACGACATTTTAACCCAATGTATCGCCGTAATTTAATGATTACGAATAAAATGTGTTAATATTTTTCAACAATCTACCTGCAAGACGATGACGACTAATTTTTGTTTGCAAGACAAGCAAACAAACACTCTTTTTCGCAATTAATATGTCCTTTCTCAAGGTCAAGTCTATTTCTATATTAATTTCTATTAATCTGGGCTCAGTTGTTTAGGCGTGTAAGCGTAACAACACTTATTTGTCTTACCTTAAGTTATCGATACTTTTAATACGATTCTAGAATCTAGCAAAGTATAGATACTAGAACCATACGATGATCAAATTAGAACTAAATCGAGTTTGCCAAAGCATATGCAGTGATATTTACCAAGTATATTAAATCATCATATAAAATATCGCATTTTATAATCTACAATAAATATTGATTATCAGAATATCGAAAATAAACAATATCACCGAAACAAATATCGATTTTTCAAAAATCGATTATTTTTTCCCACGCCTACTCCGCAGGTTCATGAATTTTCCGGATCGTGGACGCAGCAGTGCACAAGCCTAAACGCGTTTTCCATTGCCGCCATCACGGACCTGAAAAAACCGGTCCAGAATAGAGAAAGTAAAATTCCGGAAAATAGAGAAGTGAAATTCCGGAAATAAAAAATTGAGAAAAATAATAAATGAGCATGACACAAATGCAATTACAATCTTTAACTCTTTAGTGTCGAAAATCGTATAACTCATAGAAATACTTGGTGGAAATATTTCTATGAGTTATAAGAGGTGCAGCCTAGTATTGTAAAATACCTAATAGATGGATCTTTAATAACTAAGCAAGAGCTTAGTAAGGCATTACCTACCGTTATAGGTATGGTGAAACGACTAATCTGCTCAAGCTATTCGTGATTTCTGGTAAAGCTATGTCCTTTATCTAGGTTAGTGAAAACGGGCATTAGGTATGTTTACGTAGATTATGCCTTTCTGCGTCTCCGGCGCGAGTTGGAAAGGTTGCGGGCCTCTGCCGGTGCCGTACCCGCCCCCAAAGAGGCTAATCAATGGGCAGATGCATATCCACTAAAATCCATGTTGTTACTATCGCGTGTAGGTAGAACTAGTTGATCAGAAATTCTAATTTTACGGTAACGACATATATAGCGATGTGTTTATGAACAGTAGTCATTATACACACTAGTCCACGGGATCCCAGGGTTATTTCTAGTTTAGTGCACACTTTTAGAATAATTTATTTTGTTAGCGTCCTCATTTTGTCACCTACTTAAAACCACTATATCTTCAAATTAAATTAATAATTGTGAGCTATATTTGCAGAGATTAAAGATTCATTCTAAACGAGATTTTTACTATAAACCAGCAAGAGTTAACTTGAGGCCTGAACGCTGTAGGCAGTACACAAATCTCTAGTAACCCTTCCTGAGCCTCTACACAAGCCTCCCTTTAATTTTTCTGGCTCTCGTGCTGCCCCTATTTAGGCCTGCAGAGGCCACAAGGGGGCGTTATCGCCCACTTTGGAAAAGGCTGCACTTGTCCATCAACTGTTTCTTTCACAAGAGGGTCTAAATTTGAACCATATGGAAATTGTTGGGTCGATCACTCTTACTATATAATATTTATTCAACCAGAAATAAAACAAATTTTAATGAAGAGGACAGACCTCTTCAGGGTATACATAAATGAAACACAGATATAGAGAATCATTATTCTTTTTACACATTAGTAACCTAGTCCTTACAGACGCCATTATTCTTAAAATATAATACGAATCTGACTCTTTTACTAAGCTATATTATTCTTTAATAAAAATTTCTATTTGTTGAGATATAACTGCTTTCCGATTTATAAAATGAATAATGCTACTATAACACAAAGTGCGTCTTCCACTAAAATCTTGGAATTGTTGTCACTTACATTCTAAATCTATTAATATTAATAACATTCATTATTACATGAGTGTAATAAAATTCCATTTGACCTGGCACTGAGGAAATTTAAGTCATCAACCTCCTTCAATGATAAAATGAAATAATATATTCTATGCGTGCAAGTCGCTTGGCGTATTTACAATTCTGGAAATAACCTAGCAATTTCGGAACCAATTCATTATTTTCTATACGATAGTTTTACATCGATAAATTAATTAAAATATCAGAATTCAATAAAAAAATCTAGTACCGATACAAACTGTACATACAAAACAGTCCCGCACAGAAATCTTAGTCTAAAACATTGCAACATTAAAAAAAAAAACACATCTATTATAAACTATGCATTAAAATTAATGTTCGACGTCCATATGCAGACTGATATACAAAGTAGAAAAAATATACACTGTTACCATCTTTACAACAACAGGGTGACTTCTTGCATATATGTAGTTAGATTACAACCAATCACTTAGTATCCAGTAGCTATAGTTTGGGCTGTAAACATATTAAGTCGAATTGTTGCGTATTCTGTAGATCCACACGACTGCGAAAAGAAATCTGTGTACAAAGATAATAATTTACTATTAGTTAGTATATACAGTACAGTACGTGGTAACCGTCAACTTGAATTCGACAACATAACTTTGAAATAGTGTATTTTTTACGAAAATAATTTTGTAGTTTTTGTCCCACTAACAAATAATAAACATAAAAAAAACGATGTTATTATGTCAACTGATTAAACTTAATAATTTTGTTCTAAATTTAAAGCTAAATTAGATCCTTATAGCACAGTACTATAAATTATTATTTTTCTGAGAAAAAAATAAATAATTTATAGTACTGTGCTATAAGGATCTCTTTATTTTTGTAGTAATCACAAGCACATCAGGTTAAAATTTCTCCACTTGATTTCAAACCTTAATGCTTTGATGGCAGAGTAAAAAATCAACTAGATAATTTTAACATATCATAGCAAACTGATGTGCAGATGTGTGTACTAAAATTTACTACTTGACTGGTTCATAATTTAATTATATGTAATCGGGTCTTGTTCGTGTATTTTTTAAAACTATTAATTTGTTCGTGAAGTTTTTTGTACAGGACGTGCTAAGGAAAAATGGATACAGCGCAAGATGGTCACACCCTATACCTGTAAGGAAAGACTACCTAAGGTTCCCAGGCAACGGGCATTTTTAGGCTATGTTAAGGGGTAACGGACAAAATTGGTTCCACTTTGAGGAAAAGTTTTTCTATAGACACCATTTTTACACACAAGTGGAGGGTACATCTGAAAATCTGTTAAAAACATTATTACCGGCTTACCCTCACGCCTCAACTAAAATCAGAAGACGACACCCGCCAGTTCTCCAGTCTCCTCGTGACCACGGCTGCTGTTACGTAGCCGAAACGTCGAGGTAAATTAATAGTTTTAAAAAATGCACGAACAAGACCCGATTACATATAATTATAATGTATACAAATCGTGTGAGTTTAAAAATATTATTGGTTCATTATTTGTTATAATTGTCAAATAGCTAATTATGTAAGACGCGTTGACATATCAGTCTATTAGTCAATCATCATTGCTTGAAAATATAGCTTATATAAAATAGTAGATAGTAAAATAATGACCTTAGCTGGTGAGCAACGCAATGTTGATCTCCTTGACCATCTTAACCCGGTGTAACATCTTGGCGAGCGCGGTTCTACTTAGCGGCTGCGTGGAGTACCAGACAGGGGAATCGGGAACGCACGATCGCTCCGGTTGTAAGTAGAACACATCGTTACGCGTCCTCACTGATTCGGGACTGTAGAAAACATAACAAAATTTAAGCAGAAGATAATATTTTTACTATACTAAGGATAGTTATAGATTTCTTTCAACATCATTATATACTTATATGCTTAGGGTCATTGGCCGTTTTTTCGCCTGTCTTAGAAACAAAGTATAGTAAAAACTCAGTACAAATATTTAAGTGGGTACACTCGAGACCCAAGCGAAAGATAATAGCCTAAGCATGTAGGGCTGTCGCTTGTAGGTTATTCAATCGTCAGAAATGCATGGTCAGTCAAGCTCTAAAATATACTTTCCCCCGGTATGGTAAGCATCCGGAAACTATAATACAACTTTTTATTTTTTTTTAATATATAGACCAGGAATTGACTACAATTTTTTTCATACCTACATGTCATGGATTTGATATTTTTTAAAATTAAAACGTAGTTATAATGAATTATGTATTTATTCAATTTTTGCCAAATAATAAAGCTACGAACAAAATAAGATAATGCCGATCTTAATTTTTAATTATCATGTGCTTTGTACAATCAGTTTCTATCAATGGCCCATATTTTTTTTATATTACATTGTCTAATATACAATTCAACTAGCTGACCCGGCGAACTTCGTACCGCCATATATTATTTCTCTAATCGCAACTGAGGAAATAAAACCCTTCCGGTAAAATAAACACTTGTTTAAGAAACAATTAATGAGTACATTTTATTCGTTTACATTCACGACATAAGAGAATAATTGAGATGATAACTATCCTATCCAGTAAGATAGACCAAAATACGGGTACATGTGAAATTTGATTGAAATCGGTTCAGTAGTATTGGAGTTTATTGGCAACATACATCGTGACACAAAATTTTTATATATATAAGATATCAATTTCAATTTGGCGGTATCCGGGCAGAGTTTTAATAAATTAAACTACAAATTGATGAAATGAAATGAAAATATTTTTATTCAAAATTTTTTTTCCCTTGCCACTTATCTGGTAAACGAAATCTTGAGCAGAAATAATTGATTAACACAAATAGCTACACAAAATTATAAATACTTATTATAATAAATTACCCAAATACCCAAAGAACGAAATATTCTATACTTGATTTATAAAAATGTGAAGTACCATATAATATCAACATCAATATTTTGGTTTAGTTTTCAAAGCTATTTTGTTTACACCCAGTAATTTTATAACGGGCGGCAATACAGCGACTCGAAATATACGCAAGCACGGCGTACAAGTCACGACTAGCGAGTTGCCACTCGTGCCTTGAACTCCTATAACTTCGATAATTTTGTAAGTGTGTGCGTACAACGACGCATACGCACAGGCGCGCTCACATACAAATCATTTACGGTGCGTATGTATAAAGAGCACTTACTCTTATAATCTGGTAAAAGTCCCGAAAATTAATTATTTAAATACGCTAGAAGTTTCTCTAACTGACACCCACGTGTCGTAATTTGAAAATAGAATGTACAGACAGCAAAAAATGCAATAAATAAATAATTTATTAATTGGTGAAATATCAATGATTTTCATTTTAATTCATTCATATATTGCAGTTTTTTCCAAAAATGTCACAAAATAGGAAATGAAATAATATGTATTCTAATACGAAAACCAGAGGACCTAAATCGACAGAAGTATTGATGAGATGAGTGATATGTAGTGGAAATCAGAAAAGCATTTGCTATTTCAGTCTATCATACATAACAAATAACATCAAAATTTAACTATAAGAATCGAAACAACAAAAACAAATTAGTGTATGGTCACAATACAACCCAACTCAATACGTCTACTCGCCAGTGAGTGTTTTTTTATTCGCAAATGGTACTGGGTGTTGAAGAGAACTGTCAATGGATTACGAAATTGGGTACGCCCACTGGATGGGTAACCAAACCTGACTGGTCTTTAGTGTCTTTTTAGTGTCTTTAGAAAGATTATTTTTTTTAATTACTCACCATTTTGAAATATAGAATTCATACAATTTTACAGGACACCTAAGTGGATTCTCTTCATTCTCTTGCTGTTCATAAACTTTCTTTTTTCTGGAATTGGCTTCTGAAATACAAAAGTTAACAATTCAGTTTAAAATTATAAACTGTCAAAATTTATTAACAAATGATCAAATTTTTTATTTTTAACTTACCAAGAGCTGACTGTGGAGGGTAAAACCGTAATAATACATTTCTTGAACCTGGCACCTTCGTCTGACCTGGTTGATTAGGATTCCGTTTCCAATGCTTCATAATATGTGAAAATGATAGCTGCATATGTTCATCTACAGTCTAGAAACCAATAATAAAATTGTACTGTAAAGTCAATTTCAAAGTCATTAATTTCAAACAAAGGAGAATTTATTTGTTATCAAATTTCAGAATTATATGTATATGGAGTTTATTACTTTTCAAATTTCTACAAGACTGTACTAGAAGACCTGTATAATGAAGAGTTAAATTTTCTAAGAGTAGCAATAAAAAAAATATTTTGCCTAAATAAGACTGAGTGAAATATTGAAAATGACATTATCAATGTAATGAGAGAGATAAAAAATAAGTATTTAAAATTACACTAACCACAAGATTGAAGTGTTTTGTATTGAAGAACATAAGCGTAAATAGTAAAACGTGGGGCGAGTGCGCCCCTAATTGTTTACTTTCCCATAAATGCTCTTCTTCAACTCGCGTTACTATGTATTCTATAAAACATAAAGCCAAGGATTATGTAATAATGTTTTCTAAGAACATATCAAGTTATTTTTAATATAATAGTGGGTACTTACGCGAATCATTATACAAGACAGAGAACTTCCTAGCGACCTCGTCCAAACAATCCGTGAATTTTTCATAATATGGATCTGTAAATATGTTGTCTATCCTACCATTCTCAAAGAGATATTGTTGTATTCCTGGAAACAATATTGATTTATTAAATTTTTAGTCCATCACTCCAGGTGGCCACTTAAATTACGTCATTTGTGGGAGATCAATGCTGGATATGGCTACAAAATTGATTTATGTGGCCATAAAAGATTTTCATGCACTCTGACAATACTGCAAAGGATTGTTATATGAATCCTACTAAAATTCTTTTCGAAATAAATAGCATTATTCTCTTCTTTAAAAACTTTGCAATCTGGTACATGACATTTAGAGAATGTGGCATAGTGCGCCTAATTAAGGTTGCCAACCATACTCTAAAATAGAGTAAGATGATACTCTATTGTTTCTTATAAAAGTTGGCAACCCTATACCTAATCCAAATGTAGAATCAACATCACATCGGGCGATAAAAATGTGAAATTTTTCTATTTGATTTGAGGGTAGAGATTAAAATCAATTGCGATAAACTGACGTGCAGCCGTGTGTACAACTCTTAAATAGACATATTTTTTGCCTATCAGGCTTTGAAAAGTTCTTTTAGCTGTTAAGTTATAGGATATATAAACACTCACCTAGTACTAAATAATAAATAGTGTCCGGTGCATATTCGCTGCCGTTCGGCTTGCGCACCTCCTTCACGAACAAACACAATGAGTAGTTGAGCTCATCCGCAGTTAGTTGTAATATTTCAGATTTGAATGGTTTCCGTCTTATCGAGCTCTTCTCGATTTCAGCGTTCTTCGTCATCACCCATTGTTTCCAAGCGTTTACGCCAAATGTGTACTGATTGCAAAAATTATAATAAATTAGACTGGACAGTAAAGATGTGCCATAAATAAATTTTTTGTCATAGAACGGTCTAGTAGGTGTCGTCTCGTAAAATTCAATACAAAGAATATATTTTGGTTGATTTCTATTTTGATCATGGTATGATACGATACCATGTTCAAAATGTCAATATAAGGAGCAATTTTAGAAGATTTTGTCTTATGATGATAATGTAAAACTACAAAAGATACAGGTTATTAATATGAATTGTTTATTATTCATGTGTCGTAATTTAAGTTAAATAGATAGATAATTCATTTATTCAAAATGCAACTCAACAACATTACACTAAAAAAAAAACATTTGCTAATAAGATATTAATGTAACATCTTACTTTGTCTACATTAATATTATAAAGAAGAAATATTTGATTGCAACAGATAAGATGAAAACTACTGGACATGTTTTAATTTTTTTTTCACCTATGGGAAGCTACTTGATATGTGGTTAACACAGGCTATAATTTATCCCAACAAATAAAGGGATAAGAATGGAAGTTGAAGTTTTTATTCAACTTAACTGAAACGTCACCATAGTAACTATTGTTTACTATTAAATTTGTCATTGCAAGTATACCTATGTAACGAACCACGCGATCGAAGCTGTTAGCAAAAAGCTAGTGTATAATATATTGTTATTACAACATACCTTAAGGCACATGTTGGCGTCAGGTTTCTCGGCGGGCTCGCGCGGCGGTTCCGGCTGCGGGGGCGGCGCGGGCTCCGCACGTCGCCGCTTGGACGAGCGCGTGGGGCGTGGCGGCGGCGCGGGCGGACGCTTCCTGCCCGCCGCGCCCGCGCCCGCCCCCGCCCCCGCACCTGCGCTCGCTCTCAGCGCGGCCACCGCGCGCTGCTGCTCCATCACCATCAAGTGATGGTGGTGCATGCCTTCGCCCTCAACTACACCAAAAATCTATTATATAAAAATGAATCGCAAAATGTGTTGGTAAGCGCATAACTCAACAACGCCTCGACCAATTTGGCCAAATCTTTTTTTAAAATGTTCGTTGAAGTTCAAGGATGGTTTTTACGGCGAGAAAAATTAGAATTATTGCTGGAAAAACCCTAAAAATAGCCCTTTTCTTTTTCCCATACAAATGATTTGTAACTAAAACGTAGTCAATTTGAGCTTTATTGCTATGGTATAAAGTTCATATTAAATTACAAGCACTCACTGTTGTCTAAGCAATGTAGGTGTGTTCCTAACGTCAAAGATCATATCTATCAAAACAATGTGCGTGTGTGCGTTGGAGCACAGAATACATAGTTGGAGGAGTTTAATGTCGCGTTCCGAAACTCGCGTTTCTTTTGTATTAGTTTCGGCACGCGAGATAAAATGCATCAGAATTTTTTTAAATACGTAGGCAAAAAAACTGCCACATTACAAATCTTTTTGACAGGACGAAGTCTGTCGGGTCAGCTAGTAAATAAATAAATATTAGACAACATCAAATATTTGTTGGTAGAGTAGCACGGTGGCGTAGTGGATAAATACCGAGGCCCGCGTTTGTTGTTTTAATCAACTTTCAAAAAATTATTGTCTCGAGCTACTCCGTGCTTCGGAAGGCACGTTAAACCGTTGGTTCCTGCTGCATTTGCATTTGTTAATACCCTTCTATCCGCATTGGGCCAGCGTGGAGGATAATGGCCCATCCTCCTTAACCATCCATAAGGAACGCCTGAGCCCATGCAGTGGGGATGTGAAAGGGCTGATGATGCTACTGCCGATAGCAGTGCCCACTACACACTACAACATCTATCTAAAAATCTCTTAATTTCACAGTTTTAGCAATGGACTTCGTATTAATAATCTTAATTAGATAATTGGGATTATTAATTGTTACAATTATAAAATCATCAGAAATACCATGTCGAATGTAATCGCAAAAAGTTACAAATTTTTTGGATACATTAGCATAAAAACTTGTCACTTACCTGGCATGCCAGGATGCGAACTGGGGGTAATAGTATTAGCAGTCATAGCAGACTCAAGGTCTACTGGCTGATCTTCATATTCTGTAGCCATCTTCAGTGCCATTTGCAACATGTCCTCGCCGAATGCATTATTGCCGTCCATACCTGCCACCGGGCTAAATGTTTCTTCACCTAAAAACAGAACAATAGTTTGTTGTTAAATAATATTTTATTAAACATCTGTGAGAGACCAGTGTGAGTACGTCAATAACAGTTTTCATAACAAGAAGTTGTAAAATTATTTTTGAATAATTATCAGATTATTTAAACTCACCATTGTCATCATCTGTATCTGAATCACTCTGGTCTTTCTTTTTATCACCGGCGACCATCTCGGCCATCATCAGGAGTTCGGCCTCGAAAGGATCCGTAGGCATCTTGTCGTGAATCTTGTTGATCTCCTTCATGATGCCTTTAGCAGAATTCCGGGTGGTGGGTATGAACACTGGCGTGGGTATCGGCAACGGAATGGGGACAGGTACCGGGAACGGCAGAGACCACATGGCACACGGCACTGGTACGTATATGGGAACAGGAACAGGTATTAGAACGCGCCTCTCTAAACTGGGATCGGTCTGACATTCCTTAGTACAAGGGTGAGGGCGACAAGATACGCCTTTGGATACCATCTGGGGTTTCGACATGGTGCCTTTGTTGGCGACTTCTTTGGGTGGTAGAGTCTTAACTATAACGTGATTATAGATTTTAGGCGGGGGCGGGGGTGGTGGTGTAGGGGGCTTGGGGGGCGGCGGGGGAGTTTTAGGTGCCGCAGGGGGCTCCGGTTCTGGGGGCGGAGGGGCGTGACGTTTGGATTTGCCTCGCGTCGTGGAAGGAGTTAAGGGCGGAGGGGCGGCTAAAGATTGTACGTTTGAGATCACCGGTAGAGAGGATCGTTGCTGACCTTTGGTCATTGCTGCAACAGAAAATATTTACCTTAAAATTTGACTGAATTATATGATACCCATTGACATTGACGAAATTCGTACATTTTGCGCCTACCGACAAATATCGTAAATATTTCAGATTCGCATCGGACTATAGCACGACATCCAGACCCGAGACAATATAGAAGTACATTTTCTACATTGACCCGACGGGGATTGAACCGTGCGAACTACTATGCTAACTGGTATGGTCGTAGGTCGTAGCTCATAGAAAGAATGTTATCATTTAAGATGCTAATAATCTAGTCCAGAGGTTCCCAAACAATTTTTTCTCGTAGACTATTTTAAAATATTAACTGGTTTCGGTGGACCCCCTAGTGCTACATTTTTACCATATTCCCAAAATTCGTCCAAAATGTGAAGATCTAACGATGGAAATTGGCGTCGCGTAGACCCCTGTTGAATCCCTTGTGGACCGCTGGGGCACCACCTGGACTACTTAGGGAATCACTGATCTAGCCTATTACAATTATTCCCTATTTTAAAGTGACAGTTCCATTTGTTTCACGATTTTATTTACTTACCATTATTTTTACCAGAGTATGTTCGTCGTGGCGCACCTGCCGGTACAGCCTTTTGTTGGTCTGACACAGCTTCGTCCGGCATCAACGGTGGAGCGTGTTTTGAATACTGCCCCTGAAAATGGATTATAATTAAAATTTCTGTATTGGTCAATTATTATGTTGCATTATCTTTCAGCCAAAATATATTGTCATAATACATAAAGGCAACAGCAATCGGGTTATCCTTATTTAATATCCATAACAGATTGAATTTTAGATCCAAAATTTATTACATTTTATGGTAACTAGTGGTATGACCGCCTAACTCTTTAGCCTTGATTCTAGCTATAGGATACAACATCTTAGCGATGCTATGACTATATTTTGTTTCATATTACTAAGCTGACATGACTTTTGGTGAAAAACTGACTAAGTTGGTAACGCTGCCATCAAATTCATAATCAATATTCTTTATCATTCATTCGTCATTACTAAAGTAATAATCAAAGAAGCAAAATGAAACAAAATAACGGCATAGCATCGAGAAAATATCATGTCCTATGGTTAGAATCATGTATAGAGAATCAGACGTTCGCTCTATTTAGTTAGCTGGTTAATAACATTAGTATTACCTGGAATGTCATAACGCACTGATATGTGCAGAAGTTTCTCACAGTCGCATCTGACATGGTTAAATGATATTGCGCTAACGACGTCCTCTTACACATATCACATTTGGTTCTGAAATATAACAAGTTCTATACTGAAACGAAGAGTTAAATAAAAAATAATATAACTCCACTACTGCAAAAATGGTTTCTTTGTCTGATATATAAATAAGTATGTAGATTTTAATTACACATACTTCCTTCACATCAATTTCAATACTAACTCACCTTCTAGACGAAACAGCATTTACTGAAACTTGGTAGAGATTCAGACAATTCAGTGAGCACATCATCAGTGCTTGACCGTTGGCTTGCACGCGTCGGATCATATCAAAATTGTACTTCTTCACCTTACACCAGTTACAAGGCATTATATGTCGAGAATTGCTAATATATACGTTCATACATGACTTTGAGCAGAAGCAGTGTGGACTGCTACCTTCATATATGGTGAAACACTTAGACTGTTTACGTTCAAAGTACTTTTTACACCAGCGACATTGATCTGTAAAGATTTATAATAATGCCATATTGAAAATGAATGTCAGAGTCAAAAGTAACTTTATATAAATTGCAAGAAAATATGGTAAATATTATCTCACCTGGGAAAATATTGTTGACAAATTTAAAAGCAGCAAAACATGGATCCGAACACAAACGTTGCGATACGTCTTCATTAACTTCCACTTCGATCGTCGTAGCTTTCTCTAGGGAACATACAGCACATTTCGCCCAAATTGGCTGCGGGATAGGATTCTTGCTCATTTGATCAAATTTCTCCATACATACTTGGGAGCAAAAATCTTTAAATTGGCCCTTGTCTCCGACAGGCGCCAAAAAACCTTGATGACCAACAGATATATCTCTCTGACAGTAACAACAAATCTTTAAGCCCTTCTTGAACTCTTCCAAACATCCCGAATTACAAAACTGCCGGATATCGTATCCGAACCGTACACAATATTTGCCTAAGCTTGTGTGTTGAACAGCTTTCTGACAATTTGCGCAACGAGACCCTATTTTGTTCTGATACCTACCTAAGCATACTTCGTCGCAAAAATCCATCGTCTCCCAAGTCAAAATTTTCTCATCCATTTGGAGAATTAACGCGCAATGATTACAGCGTCGCAAAAACGTCCGCTCTCTTTCTTCTCGCGCCGCCTGAACCATCGCTGGAGTTTTAGCTTGTATTTTATATGCCTCATCTAAATATTTGTCTGTGGCGTTACTTATGACCTTCAATTTGAGCAAAGGAGGATTAGAAGTGGCGACAGTTGGTACGGACACGACCTTACGTTGTGCTCTTTTCCTTTTGATAACATATCTACCATTTTCACTATTATTTAAAGTTTTAATACAAGAATTTCCGCATATAATTTTACTCTCTCCATACCTAGTCATTGAGTATTCACACATTTTAGTTTCATTACAAACGGAACAAGTCGCTTCCTTAGGTAATGTCTCTTCCACAGTGATCCTTTTTCGTTTGAAAACATATTTATCTTTTTCATCTGCCATCATACTATGTAAACACTCCAATGAACAATAATTGGTATCTTCTCCATCATAATTATAATAAAAATAACATGTCTTTTTTTCTTCACATTCTGAGCAGAGCATAAATCGTGGCACAATCTCTTCTATGATGTATTTCTTATATGCAACAGAGTATCCAGGGTGTCCATCCAGGACAAAATTAGAAATACAGTTGTCACTGCATAAATAGTTGCATTCTCCATCTTTTGTTGTAAACCTAAATGTACAAATCCCTTCTTTTTTACACTGTACACATATACTATTAAATGAGCTAACTTCTTGTATAGTGTTGGAAATTGGAGTATCCTCAGTATCCATGGACTCATCCAGCTCATGATCTTGTTCATTTTCATTTTCTTTTTCTGCAAAATATGAATAACAAATTTACATAAATTAATGGTGGTATACAATAAGAATGCTAATTTTTAAAAATTCTTTCAATTAATACTTTCTCACTAAGTATTATTATACTTAGTAAAACAATAAATAACTATAAAATTTTGGTATAAATTACATTGAAAAAAAAAAAGAGAAATGACTACAGGAACTATTATCACTCCAATACACCAATGCAAAGTTCCACAAAAAATAATTTATGAACAATACTTCATCATCAGGTCATCTTCATACTATGTAATTTTAATAAAAATCAATTGAATCACCATTTTAGCCTTGTTTTGAGCAAAATATTATTTATGCCCACTTTCACTAACTATTCTTACTAACTAATTTTACCTCTACCATTTTCCTGAGAAAGATCATCCAGAGCTGTTGACGTATCCATATGCTCAGTGAACTCGCTATTGATGCCATCTTCTTTGTTTGCTAGATCTGCATCTGCTGCTTCATTTTCTTCTTTAGGTATAGTTTGCTCCACAGCCACAGCAGCAGCTGAAAAAATTATTATATAACAAAACATTTTTTTACTTTTTCTTGATCAATACTAAAATGCAACAAAACAAAACCTAGTTCTATTGATGGATAAGCTGATTTCACAAAACTATTTCACTACCTTCAGCTTGTTTTCTTTGCTCAGCAAGTATTTTCTCAGCTTCAGCTTTGTCTGCTTCTGAAATTTCTCTCTCAGTATCTGGGAGTAAACAAACTTCTTCATCTGCACCAGGTTCTTCAGCCTGTTCTGTCACATTGCTTTCATCCAAGTGAGGATCCTCTGTAATAAAATATTGGAAAAATTATATACAAAATAAAATAGTAATACATAATATGCAAATAAATAGTTATCTGCCTATCTATAAAATATTTTCAAATATGAACTACTACTGCTAGCTATGTTTGTGAATGTTTAAATCATCTGAAAGAATCTGATACAATGATTACTGCCCATATAAATCAAAATAATCACACAATCATTATAATACCCCTCAATGACAAGACTTAGCACTTAAAGTACTATTAATAAACATTTGGATTTGGCGTTCGAGTAAATTTATGCTGAAATTGCAACTTAAGCATTAGTCCAAATTAATTTTGTACAAAGAATAAGCAAACCTCGTACTAGGTTCACGTTTATTAAGTGTGTGTATAATAAAATTAATTTTGGCTAATACAAGTGCAGTTTCAGCGTAAATTTACTCCAAAACTAAACCATGTTTATTAACAACACTGTTAGAAATTATTATCTACCTGTGTGATCTTCTTCATCCATTTCACAATCAACATGATCAACATTGTGGTCATCGTCATCATCCTCTGTGGCATTAATAGTTTCAACTTGAGACGTAGTTGGCGTTTCTGTCTCTGCTATGCTGGTGTCAGTGTTGTCTTTAAGCAAAGCGTCAAAAGGATCTAAAGCCTAAAAACAAAAATAATAAGTATACAACAAGAGCTGCTAAGAACCATTCCTCAAAAGTAAATTAATTATAAAGTAAAAAGAATATTTCTTCATTTTTATTAATTTTGATCTGAACTAAAAAAAAAGATTTTAAACTATCATAAGAATAACTTGTGAAAACCACAAAGGCAGGAAAGGAATTCAATAAACTTCATTTCAATACAGACGAGGGTTAGGTGGACACGTTTTACAGACCTGACTTTAAATGAATTTATTGAGTAAGTATACAACCTTTGTAGTTTTATGAATTATCTTTTCTGTTTGTCAGTTTGACAACAACATTATTAAAATATTTTAACTATTATGTTTATTCTTCCAAATTTTTATGTAAAAACAATACTATTTGATTTTGCTAAATTTTAATGGGACCCTTTAAGAATATAACCTTTCAAACAAAAAAAGAGAACTAAAAGAGAAATAAAATCATAATAATATAAATCAGATCACTATTTTTCATATATTATTTCCCCTTGCAAACAAAGTTAGAAACTTTACCTTTTTATAATATAAGTATAGATAATTGTACCTCTGTATGATCTTCTTGTGTATCATCCATAGAAACATTGGGTGCAGTTTCAAATTCTGGTTTACCTACTTCATCATCTTTTTTCTCATCCTTATCATCATTTTTCAATTCAACTGACTTATTTGCGTCCACATCATCACTTTTTTCTGTAAGTCTATCCAAATTAGTTACATCTTCACTGCCATTATGTGTTATATCATCTAATTCTTCATCTTTGATTTTATTTTCAATAATCTCTTCGCTGTCTAGATTGTGTTCGCTGTGAGGTTGTGATATTTCAGTATCTGATTTTGGTAAATCTTCTAAATCTGGTTGAGGTTCCTCAACATTATTTTCTTGGTTATTATCAGTTTCATTTTCTGTAAGAGTTTAAAATTTTTATAATATGCTTATTGTTATCATTTCCTCAATTTAAAAGGGAATTTCCAGGCAAGTACCTGTGTGATTCGAAGTGTTTGCATAGGGTATTTAATAACATTAAGATCTGGCATCAATATATATTTAAGGCCCTGTAATTTATATTATTCGACTCATTGTAGGCAAGTATGATAATAATTTTGATAAAATAAAAAATGGACAGAGCAGGACTAACCATCATGGAGATCTATGGGGGAGACTTATTCTTAGCAGTCAGCGTATTACAGCTGGCTATCACACACTACTAATTCATGGATAACTTATTTTTAAATGAGAAACTACTCACAAATAGCTTTACAATACCAAATAACCCTGACACTTAACCTATTTTTCAACACTATTTTACTACAACTTTACATACATTTATTAAATCATCTCACCTACATATGATGTGGCTTTAAACAGTAACTATCATCACCTACCAGTGAAAGAATTTTTAATATCAGGCCAATAGTTTCGGAGCCTATTTAATGCAAACAAACAACTAAATCTTTCATCTTTATAATATTTGTATTGATAAGTAGGTAATTATTTGTTTAATATATATCCCAAATCACAGCAAAGATATTAAAACACAGTTCCATTATAAATTATAAATAATAGGGATAATAATGTTTTTTTGTCCGTCTGTCAGGTAGATTATTGAAAATTTAAACAAACACATATTATATTTTTTGTGTAATTAATAAATTGCTGTTATACATTAAGTAAAAATATCAAATGATGTCACACTTTTGTACATTTTCTCAAAGCTGTGTCATAGTGAACCCCCACTGCTCAATTTTAAGCCTGTTTATCTAAACTATTTCGTGTTAGATTGAAGCAAAACAAACGTTTTTAATATCTTTCTATTATGTGAGTGACAGACTTATTATTAATTATTATTAATTAAGGGCTTACTTCTATATACAGCAGTGGAAATATAATCAAGAACGTTTATATGAAAATTACATACATTTACTTAAATTAAATAGCTTTTTGCACATATTATTTTATTATTGTAGTACTCCTAAATCTTCCATTGTTGGTACCTACATTCTTCTATAAATAAGATTAAATAAACCATGAAATAAAAAAGTATAAATTACACAACTGTGTAATCTAATCTAAGAATTACTTCTTACTAGCGGGTCATATAATTAAGAAAGCAAACTATTTATTTTTTTATTAAAATTCAAATAAAGAACACTATTTTCTCATATAACTGGCACCATTTAATGGTGTTAAATAATAGCTGCGACTAATCTACAAGGGAGATTATATTAAAACTTTGGGAGAAAATTTGGTTTTATAGCTGACTATCTACAATGTTCGAAAACCAAGATCTTCAATGCTGTGAAATATTACAGTACTTTCAATATTAAGGGTCTAACGAGATACGAAAGGAATAAAAGAAAACCCCTCTGCGATCTTGGCATGCACTATTCAAAGGCGTCTTGTAGAAGAAATGTACGGAAGAATAGCAAGAAAGTTACCTATGCTAAAACAGTGCCATAGGCAAGCTGGGCTGGCCTTTTCAAAAAAAGTATGTAAACCTAGACTGTTAAACAGTGGTCAAATGTGCTTTTTTCTGACAAAAAGAAAATAAATAGTGTGGTTTGATAGAAGGCAATACATACGTCGTCCCTCTAATAATGCATTTGACCCTAAGTTTATTAAGGTGACTATAAAACATGGTAACCATGGCAACCTGAAAATTTGGGGTTGCTTCTATGATCATGGAATTGGGCTTAGTAGGCTTATAGAAGGAAACATGGATCAAGTTCAATATGAAAATATATTGGAAGAAACAATGTGACCCTATGCTGAAGACATTCTTCCAATTATTTGGAAATTTCAGCATGATAATGTTCCACAGTATACAGTCTGCTCTATAAAGGCATTTCAATCTCAATCCGTTTCGGTCTTAGACTGGCCAGCTAATAACTCTGATTTAAAACCAATAGAACATCTTTGGTGTGAATTTAAAAAAAGGTAGCACTCTGGTAATTTAAGGGAACCATAAACAAACATTTTTACAACAAATATAAGAGTATCGTTTCTAATTATTTGTCCAGCTTTTCTTATCATATAATATAATACTGTCCACAATAAATATACTATTCCAAAAAATAATGTAACTAATTTTATATGTCTATCCTAGTTTAGTTTATCTTAACTAACTGGCTCTCTGAATTCTTAAGTAAATAGGGCAAGTTTCACTTAAAACATTTTACATATAGTGTACCTACTGGTTTTTGTTTTTTGTAGCTTACAGTAGATCATAATTAAAGTGAATGAGTATAGAATGAATTCTAATACATGTGTCTATCAGTTACAAAACAAGCAAATCACCAATGAATGAAATTTTTATATAAACATACCCTTGATGCCAACATCCTGTGGACTATCAACTTCCATGGACTCTTCATTTTCAACTACTCTTCCAACTTCAGCTGTAACACAGGCAGTCTCTGTGACACCCACATCATGATCAACATGGTTCTGTAATTCACTTTCTTTAGTATCAGATTCACTATTATCAATATTTGTATTACTTTTAGCACTAGACACGATTCCACTATCGTCACCTGCCTCATTCAACACAGTTTCCGATTTTTCACTATTACAAGCATCACCAGGAGCTTCGTTAACGCTTTCACTGGGGCTCTCGGGAATAGAATCCTTTTCATCCATTATGTCCAAATACCCAATTTAATTTGAGTGATTTCATTCAATCAGATAATTTAACATCTGAAAAAACAATAAAATAAATATTTAATAACTATTTACGGCTGTGATAACACAGTACACCCGGCAGAATTTTTTTTATAGGTTATAATAAAAAGGGACAATCTCTATAATACAACAAGAGTAGTTTTATATTCATAGTTTATTTGCTAACTTGTGGTATGCTTTTAAGTTCAAATTTTGCAAATATTACATCAGAAAAACCTCATCTTCAGCACAAAATCATACAAATTAGAATGACGCTAAAGCAGAGGTCCCGCGCTATTTCTGCTTAGAATCAAAATACACCAAACTGATAAAAATTTCAAGTGTAATCAAAAGTTTCTGTATTTGGGATCACAGTTAAGATAAAACGCTGTAAAACAGCGTTGGCGAAATAAATTATACCATCTTTACAGTAGACTACTCTGAACGAAGTTCCTTTGTAAGCAGCTACGATTTAAGAAATGCCGCTACCGTTGTATTCCATGAAAACACTTTGTAAGCAATAAATTAAAATTATGAAAATAATTTACGACAGCAAAATATTGTAAGTAAGAAATTAAATTACTCACAAATCGTTTATTTCACAAATCACTTGAAAGCACAACAAACGACCACCATTTTGGAATAACCTGCTCTGACAAATTGTTACGGAAGTGTCTTTTGAAATAAATCGGTATATATTTTTTTGAATTATGTTTTTTTTACAATGCTATAGCTAAAACAAAAACAGAAAAATATAAAATATTTTTTGTGTCGTATTATTGTAAATTTGGTGCCGAAAAAACTATATTATCTTTTATGTTAGAATTATAGTATTTGATTTGATCTATTAATAGAATTGGATATGGGTATTAGTGCTGGAACAAAATTCTATAGTCACTGGTTAGGTGACGCCAAACCAAAGAGATAATAGGAAAATGCGATGAAATACTGTTTAAGGCCTGCGTCGACTAGAAAGCTTCGAATCGAGTTCAGTTGAAAGAATAATCGCATCTCAATACAATCTCAACTAAAATTGCATTTTGCCATTGCACTTTAATGAGGCATTATTTTAAGAAAAAAAAAACACTAAAAAAGATGGCGACTCACGAGATACCTCATGCCTCACGAGATGGCGACTCCATCAAAAGTTGATTTTTGCAGGAAATGAGGGACCAAAATAGTAATTTCCGTTCCATTTAACTAACATTTAAAAAAACTGAAATTTGCAACGTTTAAAAGTTAGATATCAATACAAATACGAATAAGTACAACTAGAATATGATTTGTTTATTGAGTTTTGAAAATTCATACTTTTATACATGAAAGAAAATAATAGTTATCATGGAGAAATCAAGAGAGTACCATAGCAACGTCTAGTTTGATTTCGGGATCAGGATTTAGTTTAACTGATTAGTGTCCTTCTCACACATCAATGGTGACAAATACCTATATAATATTGTATTAAAATCGATCACTCAGCAATCATCCGGCAACCTATCAAAACAAACCCAACATGTTTGGCTATATGGCTGGTATATAGTACAACCTTGCTTGTATTTCTTATAATGTTGCAGGCCACAGGCATGTTTTAGCTCAAATTGCAGAAAAATATTGCTCGTTTAGAAGCCCCATTGATAACTTAAAATTTAGATAAAAAGCTGTTACATGAAAACTAGCTACAAGTTCAAACCTTGACTACAGTGTATATAAGGTGGATATTTCATCTCTTCTGAGTTAGAAGGCTTTTACATGGGAAAGTTAGAAGTTTTGATATCAGTAAGTCACATCGATTGTGTATCTCACTATGTGTACGACAGTGCATAACTTTGAATCTCTAATGTTTTGTGTATGTACATTACGGGCTTTGTTTTGTTGTTTATTATATTGTTAGTCCAGTCATTCAACTTACAATTCGTGCCTTACCTCCAAGTTCTGTAAAAGTGCATCGGTTTATCTTAAATTTTGGAAATAAGCTTATCTTTACACTTCAAACCTGACTTGTTAGCAAATAGCTCTTTTTAAATAAAATACATTTGATTAATAATAGTTTTTTTCGCAAATGCTTTCAAAAGAATATAAAAATTTGTTTTTTTTAATATAACATTTATAAATGAAAGGTTTTATCGCATTTCATTTATGGATAATGAGCGTGAAAATATAAGTAATCACTCACGTATCTTTTTTAATAATCTTTTTTGTGTTTTATAAAAAACTATATTTTTTAACATAAGACTTACAAACCATTGAGACTTTTAGGACGCATAACTGGAATATAAATTAAGTTAATTCATCATGGGCTATGCATACTTTTTATTTTGTCATTTAGGGAACCATATTTATTGCCCATGTCAAATCAACAAATGCTATTTCGATGCACACAGAAAACGTAGATAAATCTACTAATTGAGTGGACAATAAAAAACGGATATACCTAATATCCTTAATTTTATCCGTATTTTCGGTAATCGGGATCTTGGTGCGCGATTCCTGTTGGGGACCCTTTGTACCTACGGGGCCACAGGGCCCTATGTCCATCTTCCTAAGGACCCTAAAAATGACGATAGATAGATGGATCCGCTGTTTAACAAGAAAACAAGGCTAATCTATTTGACCCATAGATTTGGTCAACAGCGAGAGTAAGTAAAATCTGGTATAAATATTCCTAAACGAATGTAATGTATTGCCATTATAAAATTAGATTGAAGCTTATTGGTTCTTTAAAAAAATTATTGAATTGTGATTGGTGAGTAAGCAACTGCTAAATTTACCACCAATGAGCGATGGTTTTAGGTATTCATTTTATATCTGTGTGACTTCCTCAATTATGGCGGGTTCTTGTTTTTTCAAGCTCAAATACGAAATGAGTGGTAAAGTGCGCCGCCTGGGCGGCGACATTGACAGCGATTTGTCGAATAATTTCATGCGCCATTTTGTGAATGATAAAGAATTCTGTGTTAAGTAATCACGACGTGTAAAACAAAATCGGTAAAGTTCATTACAGTGGTAAGTGCCTCCACGGTGCTATTGATATTCAGATTATTTGCGATTTGTGTATGATGGTTATAGTACGGTTGCAAATATCGACAAGTAGTTGCTATTTTGTTTCTTTCTGAGTTTTGCAAACGATATTATTGTTCCGAAAATAATGTTGTTTCACTCGTTTACATTGTCCCATGTTTGAACTCCTTGGATAACAGATTCTACTACCATGACCGAGAAGACGGTGGTCGGGAAATCAGTCGTCAAGCGACACGAGGTAGCTAGACCAGTACACATTCAAAGATTAGAAGCTGCTCTGGACATAAGGCCTTTTGTCAGTCAAGTAGAAAGAATCCTAAATTCAGAGGATGAAACTGAAAGTGAGGATGACTCTGATGCTAAATCTATTGGGAATGAAATGTCCAAAGGAGATAAAATAGTCCATGGAGTAGTAACAACAAAACAAGGTTGGAAAACTATATATGTAGTTTTTGTTGTCATTATTTTTAAGATATTAAAAGGTTCATATAAAGGTATATAAAGGTTCATTTAAGTTCAGGTGTAAAAGTAAATTCAGATACTGATTTTTTTATTTAAGGAAATAAATAGCCTCCACTTATCCATTAATTGCTAAATTTCAGAACGTCAAAGTGATAGACTACGTTTGTATAATCTTGCATCAGTTGGTGAAGAAAGAGCATGGCTTCGTGATGTCCTCCTCTCATCTGGGTCAGAAACTAGCAGTGAAGATGACACACCAGCAGGCAAGGAGCTTAGGCTTCAGCGTATACTTAAAGAAAGATCTTACCATAACAGATATGCCAAAAAATATTACAAGGATCCTGGGGTAAGTAAATGTGGAATAGAGTTGAATTTATATTCTGCGAGGACAGCAAGCAAATAGTGTATCTTGTTTATGATAAACTGAAGTTATTCAACATAAAAAAATTTTTGTGGGCAAAATTAAGTGACTGACCTGTATGCTGCTGGTTACTGGTGGTATTGTTCCAGAGATCAGCCATCTTTTCCTTTATCATGTCCTCCTTAATATTTTTAGTTGATCGTAATAAACTCAATATTTAAATTGGTATTGTCATTTTAAATTCACAATTATATCTAACACAAATGATTTGCTCACTTACTCTCGAACGCAATCACAACCAAATGTCATTGCAATTTCACTTACTCTGGCGCTAATGTACCCAACAAGAGTCTGATCAACATTGCATTTGTGCCATTTCATACAATTGCAATGTTGATTGGTCACAATGGCATTTGAGACCAAGGGAGCAGTCATAACTGTGTTTTCAAAAATCATGAATTATTAACTTATCTAAACTTATAACTGATTAAGTGACTCAGGTTTAATTGTTTTATAACTACTTCCAAATAATAAGAAAGATGTTTATTTATGTGATTGAATAAGTCTTGTTTTAGACTTATTCAATCACTAGATTGTATTGACATGACTGTAGTGGACTGAAGTCACAACTGTATGCAGTTAATTATTCTATATGACTGCAGCTGACTGTGTCAATCTGAAATAAACATAAACTGAAAACATATATAAACTCTGTGCAGTTCTTGCAGTGCTGTTCATCTCATCAATTAAGATTAATTGGAGTCACAATAATAATATGATAATAATAATTTGTTTTAGAATTCCCGTTACATGTATTATGGAGCTGGTTTGCTTTCAACTGTAGACCGGTACCCAGAGAGGCGTATAAGTCGCGCAGCACCCATACCTCAATCAACTAGGGGCCGGAGAGGTAGACCTGAGAGAGGTTCTATAAGAGGTGTACAAAAATCAAGACGAGGTCGTACAAGGGAAACCAAGGCATGCAACGAAAACAGTGGAGATGCTGTGAGGAGTTTAATATTTCAATTATAAATATAAAGTCAAAGTTACATTGCCTAGTCTGTCAATATTATTTAGTAAAACTACTTCAGAACTGATGTTATTGTTTGAAATGGTTTGATTTTAGCCGGATGGTGTGGATTGGGAAGAACAGCTACGCAATCTCAAACAGGAGAATGACACTGAGGAATACAGTCCAGTCATAGATAAACCAGGAGTAAGGTAAGTTGTGGCATTTATAGATTTAATTTGATACTGCAGCAAGATTCACTTTGTAGCTATGCTACTCATATTTTTTTGTTCTTCAATATTGCTTTATTATCCTTAAATTTAATGATTAATTTTGAAACTATATGTCATATATAATATTAAACAGAATATTCAATGTCTTGCCAGAAGGACATAGGTTATTTTTACCTGAACGCAAAACAGGGTGAAGTTAGATTCAAATGCATATATATAAAATTGTAGGGGTCGCAAGAAGTTGTCAACACTAAAAAGTCCTGAAGCTCTAACCCTGCGACGTAGACGACACTGGCTATTGCTCGTCAAGAAAGAGTTGGGTAAAGTGCAGCGAGCGAGGACAGCTACGCATAGAGAAGTGATGCTACAAAGGAAGAGATTAGCCACACTCTGCTGCAAACATTGGAGACATGTTGCCATGCAGGTATTTTAAGATTAAAGTGACCACAAAATTTGATTTTTTAATGTTAAGTGAAGTTAATATGTGTTTTCGCATTTTGTATTAATCTGATGTGCTGCTGTGTGTAAATATATTAAGCATATCACGAAGGCACAATTATTGAAATCTGAACATATCTGAACTAAGTACTTAATTTAAGAAAAGCTCAGTACATATTTAAGGGTGCTGATCCGGCTCTATGGACCAAACCGTAGACGATGTTGTATAACCGTGGATGATGGTGAAAACAAAGACGAATTTCTTCTATAGACGATTTATTATATTTTCTTCTTACTGGCTACTTATTACTGCTTGACTATACTGCTTGACTGACTTGACTTGACTACAAATATTTACAAATTTGGCCCTACCCTTATTCTACACTTAACATCTAACTTAGCTACTAGTGACGCGCGGCGGCCGACCAATCACAGCGCGTTTTGCGCCCGCGCGCCGGGTGGGGGAATCGCCCCCACCGTGCGGACGGCGCATACGCAGCCAATGGGCTCCCTGAGAATTCCGCAAATGTAGGCGCTGTGATTGGTCGTTCGATCTGTACATTTTTCGGCACGTGGCTGTCGTCAACAGTCTCCCCCCGGCGAAGGATCTCCGCAGCCTCCTCCGGTTGGCAGCCCGTGCCCGTCGCGCAGCGCGTCCTCTCTCATCGTTCCGTGGAGAGTGCAGGTTCGACGACGATCAGCTTCGATGTCGGCCGCCGAAATGTTCCTCCTCTTGTCGTTATCTCCACGTTCCGAATCACGCCGTCAGGTCCAGGGTAGGTATTGGCTACGATGCCGCGTGGCCACGTGTTTCGAGGCAGAGCGTGGTCGGCTATGATAACCACGTCTCCGGTCCGTACTTCGCTGCTTCGTGGACGTTGTGGGTCGCGGCGTGGTACGAGGGTCGGTAGGTACTCTCGTAGCCAGCGTTTCCAGAAGGCGTCGGCTAGTGCTTGCGTCGCCCTCCAAGTCCTGCGGTCGCCCTCTTCACATGGCCCGGTGTATGGAAGGCCGGTCGATGACCCCAACAAGAAGTGGTTTGGGGTTAGCGCCTCCGGATCGCTTGGGTCTACGGAGACATGCGTCAGTGGTCGCGAATTGACAGCATGTTCCGCCTCGGCCAGTAGAGTGTGCAGGACCTCCTCTTTCGGTGCTCGTTCGTTTAATGTGGCGTTGAGCGCGGTTTTCACGGAGCGAACCATGCGTTCCCAGGCTCCGCCTTGGTTAGGTGCTCCCGGCGCGATGAATTTCCATGTGGCATCGTAGTTCATCGCCTCTCTCTTCAGCTCGGGAAGCCACTCGGTGTACGCCTTCTTGAGCTCGGTGTCAGCCCCTCGGAAGTTAGTGCCGTTGTCACTATATATTACGGCGGGCCATCCTCGTCGTGCTGCCATTCTTCGTAGCGCCATGATTGCGGAGTCGGTGGTGAGTGATGCCACCAGCTCCAGGTGCACGGCGCGTATCGTCAGACAGGTGAATAACGCCACCCATCTTTTCTCTCTTCGTCGTCCAATTTTGATGGTGACTGGCCCGAAGTAATCTATCCCACAATGACTAAAGGGACGTCTGAAGGGCTGTAAACGTTCTGCGGGCAGATCCCCCGTCGGCGGGCTCCTTGGCTTCGATCTTCGTAGTCGACACATAAGGCAGCCTGCTGCGACTTTCTTAACTGTTGGTCGCAGCCGCAGGATCCAGTACTGCTGCCTGACGTCGTTGACCACTCGCTCGTTGTTGCAGTGTCCCGCTCGTCTGTGCTCTCGATCAATGATTTTCTTCGCGAGTTCGTGGCGTCCGTCCAATAATACCGGCTTCTTTGCTGTTTCCGGTACGTCCGCCTTGTTGATGCGTCCGTTTAGTTTCACAAGCCCGTCCTCCCAAGTGAGGTCGTAACGGTGCAGAGGGCTCGTTCGTGCTACGGGGACTCCTTTCTTCAGGCACTCGATTTCTTGGCTGAAGGAGTCTTGTTGCGCCTGCTGCAGCCATAAATTTGTCGCTCGGTTGAAATGTTCGCGGCTGAGTGTCTTCGTTCTGTCGCGACATCTTTCCACGAAGAGTAGCGCTTGCGCTGTTGCGCCGATCAGTCGCTCGAACGTCGAGAATCGTTCTATCTCCGGTAACGCCGCGTTTCTCTCTGTTGTGTGCGCGATGACGTGTGTTATTTCCGTCGTTTCGTCATCTTCTCGATCCGTTGGTTGCTTCGGCCATTCCGATCTTGGTGATTTCAAGAAGGATGGTCCCGTGAACCACAGGTCGTTTTCGTTGGCTGGCGTATATCCGGCGCGTGTGGCGACGTCGGCTACGTTCAGATGCGTCGGTATCCATCGCCAGTCTTGCGGTCTGGATAACTCGGTTATTTCTCCCAGACGGTGTGCGACGAATGGAGTGTAGCGCTTGCTTCCATTCCGCAGCCAATGAAGCACCGTCTGAGAGTCGCTCCAGTACACGGTGTCGTCGACGTTGACACGGTGTTCTTCTCTGATTGCTTTCGCTAGTCGCGTTCCGATGAGGGCCGCTTGAAGTTCCAGGCGCGGTACGGTTTGGGTCTTCAAGGGCGCGACCTTAGCTCTAGCCGCTATCAGAACTGTCTCGATGACATGGCCGGGTCCGTAGTGCAACCTCCAATACGCCGCCGTTGCGTAGGCTTCTTCGCTGGCGTCGCAGAATATATGAAGTTCACGGCGACGCACTTCTCTCCCCCCGTTGTAACTACGGGGTAGCCGTAGTTGGTCGATTGCTGGCAGGCTTGTCAACCATGCATCGAAGTCCTCGCTCAAGTCGGATGGTAGAGGGTCGTCCCAGCCGGTCTTGAGGCGCCATAGTTTTTGAAGAGTTATCTTCGCTGTGATTGTGAAGCAGCTGAGCAGTCCGAGCGGATCGTATATGCTCATCACCGTCGATAATGCTTCTCTTTTCGTCGGCGGGCGTTGTCGAGACTTCACTGGCAGTGGGACTCTAGGCAGGGCGGTGTTGAAGCCCAGCCGATCGGTATTTGCATCCCAAAGCAGGCCCAATGTCTTCTCTGTGTCTCCAAACGTCGTCGTCCCGCTTTTGGCTCTACTATCCGGGTTCACGGCTTGTAGTAGCTTCCTGTTGTTACTGTTCCATCCCCTCAGGTGGAATCCAGCCTTCTGGTGCACTGCGTCGACTTGGGTGATGACTTCGTGGGCCTCTCTCGGATCATTGAAGCTGTCGACGAAGTCATCCATGTAGTGCGCTTCGGTGATTGCGCGCAGTGCTGCAGGGTGCGTCTCAGCATGCTGTCTCGCGTTGTGGTCCCTCACGCTGTGTGCGAGGAACGGTGAGCTCGATGCGCCGAAGATCATCGACGTCATCTTCAGCTTGCGCGGTGGTTCATTCTGCCTGCAGTCGCGCCACAGGAACATCTGTGCGGGTTGGTCCTCGCGGCGTATCTTGATTCGCAGGAACATTTCCTCGATGTCAGCTGTCACCGCGTATGCGCCCTCTCGGAACCGGAATAAAATGGTCTGCAGCGATCGTAGCAGATCCGGCCCTTCGAGTAGGTGATCGTTCAGGCTGACACCTCGAATTCTTGCTGCTGCGTCGAAAACCAGTCGCAACTTCCCGGGCTTATTGGGATTCTTGACGGCGAAATGCGGCAGGTACCATGCGACGGGGCTTGCGTCCTCGGAGCCGTCGCAGGGTTCGGCGTATCCTTTTTCTACGAGGTTGTCGATCCTCCGCTGGTATTCCTTCCATGTCGCGTGGATCTTTCTTCAGCTTGTTCTCCAGATTTGTGAGCCGGCGGAGTGCTGAGTCGTAACTCCGTGGCAGTTTGGCGTCGTCGTTTCGCCAAGGCAGGCCCACTTCGTATCTGCCGTCCTTGTGCTTCACGGTGCGTTCGAACGTGGAGACGGCACGCTTGTCCTCTTCGCGGACGTGTGATGCGTCGAGCGACACTCCGAGTGAGTCGATCCGGAAGTGTCTCGACACGAGTTCCTCGAGTCGGTCGTCTGATGCTTCGGTCGTGACGACATGTAGGATATCCTCGGTGCGGCGAAGCGATCTCGATGGCGCCGTCCCGTGGATTACCCATCCGAGTTCGGTTTTGGAGGCAGCTGGTTCCTTAGTTTTTCCTGACCGTAGTTCGCGGGTCACTATGAGCTCCCAGTTGTCCGTCCCGATCAAAATGCGAGGCTTCGCATTCTTGTATACGACTTCTCGCTCGTCGAGATCTCTAAGGTGTCGTAGCTTCATCGCCTCCGCCGGTATCGATTGCGGCGTGAGGTCCAGGCCCACCATGGTGCGAGCGTTGATTTTGAAGATCTGGTCACTGCGCGTTCCCTTTATTCCAATCTTCACTCGACGGCTCTGCACGTGACTTTGCTTCTTATTTATTCCTCGGACGTTGAGCTGTGCGGTCGGTCCGTCGGCGCCGATCTGTCGCGCCAGGTCGTCGTCTAATAAGGTGACCGTCGAGCCTTCGTCGAAGAGCGCGTAGGTGTCGCAGCTCCCACGTTTGCCCGTGATTGTCACGGGGCAAATCTTCAATTTGACGGCGCGGCTTGTCGTCGTGGCAGCCGTCGTCGTTTCGGTGGTGGCTGGTTCCGTTGCGGCCGCGTTTGAGTCGGTCGCGCTCGTAGCCACGTCGTTCGTCGTTCCACGCTCATCTGCGTGCAACAGTCGGTGATGCGGTCGCTTGCATCCGTTGATTCCGCAGAGCTTCTGTCGGCAGTTCAATCGACGGTGTCGGCCCACGATGCATTTGAAGCAAAGGCCCTCCTTCTTCACCAGCTCCCATCGGTCATCATACGTTAGCTGCTTGAACTTTGGGCAGCTAGGTAGTGTGTGGGCTTCCTGGCATGAAAGGCATCTGCGCTGCGGTGCTTCTTCGGTGGCGACGTACACCGTCTTCTTCTTAGCCTCCGGTCTGGGGGCGGGGCGAGGCGTTTCTCGTGTTCGTTGCGATGTGGAGGGTGCGGTGAGGTTCGATACATAGTTGTATCGCATGCAGCGGTCAGCTTCCTTCATCAGGAACGATGAAAGTTTGAGTAGATCGGCGTTCGGGCCCGGCTGTGACTCGGCGAAGTTGCACCAACTCGATACAAGGTAGCTTGGCATCTTGTCTAAGACTTCCCGGGTCAGCAGTGGGTTAAGCAGGTACTCTGGCTGCACGTTCCTCAGGACGGCCACGACGTTCTGTAGCTTCACCGCAAACATGTTAAGATCGTTCGCGGTAGGTCCAATCTTCGGCAGCTTCCGTAGATCGGCGAAAGCCATGTCCACTAGTCTTTCTGGCCTTCCGTAGCATTGCTCCAGTGTTCGCATGATCTCGTCGGGGTGCGTCGCGGTGCTCAACAATGATGCGACGTTTTCCCGAGCTTCTCCACGTAGGCAGTTTCTTAGTCTTGCCATATTCTCTGTAGGTGTGAACTCGTACAGCCGCGTTGTTTCTCGCATCGCAGTCGCGAACTGTAGCCATTCCAGCGGTGAACCAGAGAATATCGGTAGATCCGATGCTTGACGCGGCGGCGGTCGTGACTTCACGAGGGTTTCGAGGACAGAGGCGAGTTGATCGATGCCTCTGCCTCGCGATGACGACCGTCTTCGTTCTTCCCTATCTGGGCGTCGCGTGTCGCGTTCAGGTGGCGGTTCAGCCACGGCGGTCCTTGAGAGCTCCCCCCGTTGTTGGTCGACGTTCGCGTCGTCGAGCCACTCGAACACTCGATCTTGCAATTTATTTGCCGGTTCTTCAGCTTCGGGTTCGCTCTCTGCTCCGTCTAGCGTTTCTAACTCGATATTGAGCGTCTTTTTTATGAGGTCCGCTTCAATTTCGAGTTCTCGGCGTCTTATGGCAGCCAGTCGTTCTTCTGCTTCGATGCGTAGCTTCCGGCGTGCCGCGTTGCTCGCTGCCGAGCGGGTCGAACGCGCGACGTGCACTCTCCTCGCCGGTTGCACCGATGACGTCATCGCAGATGTCGTTATTCCAGTAGTCGCCGCTGTGTCCGTTGGGTGTGCTGCGCGTTCGTCCGCTCCGCTCGGCGGCTGCGTAGTCACTGCCAAGGCGACGCGTGCTCCGGCAACGTCTGCCCCAGCGCGGTTCGCGTTAGGCGCTAGTTGCGAGACTTGCGGTGCGGTGCGTAGGCTCTCCCCGGCGTTACCCGTCTCGAGGCGTCCTCGTACGGTCGGTGTACTTGAGGGCGATCTCGGCGGCTGGTCGAAGACACGACGTTGGTTTTCTTCGTCTTGGCTTCTTGTAAGCACCATCTTGATTCACTGTTGGCTGGATCTCGGAGGTTCTATACGTGTTTAGATCCGGCTTCTCGAAGGACCAAACTGTTGAGGATGCTGATCCGGCTCTATGGACCAAACCGTAGACGATGTTGTATAACCGTGGATGATGGTGAAAACAAAGACGAATTTCTTCTATAGACGATTTATTATATTTTCTTCTTACTGGCTACTTATTACTGCTTGACTATACTGCTTGACTGACTTGACTTGACTACAAATATTTACAAATTTGGCCCTACCCTTATTCTACACTTAACATCTAACTTAGCTACTAGTGACGCGCGGCGGCCGACCAATCACAGCGCGTTTTGCGCCCGCGCGCCGGGTGGGGGAATCGCCCCCACCGTGCGGACGGCGCATACGCAGCCAATGGGCTCCCTGAGAATTCCGCAAATGTAGGCGCTGTGATTGGTCGTTCGATCTGTACATTTTTCGGCACGTGGCTGTATTTATTAAATAGGCATTATTTTATATTCGATAGTGGAAAAGTCTAATCACAAATGTATTATTTTAGTCTCAGAAGAATATGAAGGAGACAGTATGGCGATGTAAACGGCTTAGTCGTGAGATGCAAGCTTACTGGAGGCGATATGACCGAGCCGAGCGCGAGACAAGACGACGAATGGAGAAAGAGGCAGAGGAACAGAGAAAGGTAACTGTTCAACCTATGTTAATTTTTAAAATAATAGGGCTATTAATATATTTTTAAATATTTTAAAATGAAAGTATAAAAAACATTTTTCCTGCAAATTATACAAGATAAGATTGATTATTTATTATTTTTTAATTTGGCAACCAAACGACTATCTAATAATGTTCATACTTTACTATAAATTAACAGTAATTATTATTATTTACTGTCAAAAATACTTCTTATAATGTTTTACATATATGGAGCCAAATGAACTATATAACTATTATTATAACTATATAACTATTATTATAACTATATAAACTATTACTTATAATCTTGTTAAGATTATAAGATTATAAATAATCTTAACATTGGATATAGTTAATTTGACTCTTATTTTATATAGACATAAATTAAAAGAGCCATTGTTTATTTTAGTTTTTAGATAACAATGTTTCTTTTCGGTTTTTAATTTGCCAAGGCTGTAATAGAATTAACAACAGTTGTTATTATCTATTTACCAGATGGATGTAGAACTGATGGAAGCTAAACGGCAAAGGCGCAAGTTGAACTTCCTCATCACACAAACGGAACTATATGCTCATTTTATGCAACGCAAACTGAACTCTGAGTCGGTGGATGGTGACTGTGGTGCAGACAGAATTCTTAGGCAACTCGATGAAGATAGGGATCCGAGGTTGGCGTGGATTGACCAATATGACAGGTGAGTTATTTCATAGGACGTATTACTGCTTTTATTTATAAACTGAGTGTGTCTCCATCCCCCTCTCTCAATCCGTTACTGTTCAAATAGTGGGAGAGATGCTACGAACTGGCCAGCAGGCCGGTGAGATATTTTTAGAAGTCTATTTTTTGTTGACATTTTATTCTCCTTTTTCTTTGGTCTTCGTTCTTTCTGCTGTCATGTAAATTTTATTTCAACCAGTAATATATAACTACTGCATATAAGATGGAAGAAACCAAAATATAAAGGTTGTTTACTACATGCTAGTTAAGATGGCTGCACCATCTTCCTATTCTTGTTTTTTCTATCCAACTGTCCAGTTTATGGTTTTGGTTTACTTTGAGTTATATTGTTAAGGACATAAGGACCAATTTTCATTGTTTCTATTTAGCGAAGCGATGAAAGCTCGCGCTTCACGCAACGCCCGAGAAGCTTTCCACGCGGAACGTGCTCGCACTAGACAATTCGACTCGGCCGCCGGCGCCGAAAGCGAACCGGAATTGGAACGACGGCCCGGCGACCACGATCAGCCTACGATCTTTCAGGGAACACTCAAGGGTTACCAGCTGAAAGGGATGAACTGGCTCGCCAATCTGTATGACCAGGTCTGTACTGGCGGCTAAGGCCGATAGAATACGTTAAGATTTAAAAATTAAATTTCATTCTAGGCTACCCGCGACTATGGAGATGAGAAACCGTGTAACTTATAAACATGGTCCTACTGTAAATTTTGTATGTATTTATAGTTTGATACAACACAAGAATGAACTGAAAGTTGCTCTCGAGACAGTAAATAACTTATAACATACTCGTTTCTTTCGCTATCAGTGATCGTATTATTAATGTTCAATCACTAATCCAGTTAAAATGATTATTGTTTTGTAATAATACTTACATACAAGATGAAAATGTGTTTGTTATTGTTGGTGACCAACTGTTTGGCAATTTACATTCAAAATTCTCAGTTTAAAGCTAAATGCCATTTGCAATTTTAGAATATAAAAAAAATGTAAAACAGTACCGTGATAATCAAAATATAGAGCAGTAACTGTATTCTTGTGGTTTCCTTAAAGATACCGTAGCCTGGCCTCGACCTTCTTTAGTTATAATTATTAAATTTGATAATTTTAGCAGTCTCAGTGCTATATTGAAATATAACAAAAAAGTAATCTAATCCATGGTGCCTGAGATTATAATCTTTTGCAATAAACAAATTATTATAACAAAAAAATAAAAATTTACAGGGCATCAGTGGTATCTTGGCAGACGAGATGGGTTTAGGAAAAACAGTCCAATGCATCGCGTTCCTTTGTCATGTGGCAGAGCGTCTGGGTGTTTGGGGTCCCTTCTTGGTCGTGTCGCCAGCTTCTACGCTGCACAATTGGCAGCAGGAGATGGAAAGATTCGTGCCTTCCTTCAGAGTGGTCAGTGATGACAGTGGTATCAAAATAATAATACATCGTTTTCATCATCATCAGCCCTTTATTTCGTCCCCACTGCAGGGGCTCAGGAGCATGGGCCATGACCCTCCACGTTGGCCCAATGTGGATTGGCGAGTATTAACGTCTACAAATGCAGCCGGAACCAACGGCTTAACGTGCCTTCCGAAGCACGGAGTAGTTCGAGATAATAATTTTTTAGTCACACATCCCGTGACCGACCATTGCGAAAGTTGCTTGACGACAACGCTCGCGTGCCGCGGCGCTTATCCACTACGCCACCGAGCTATATACATCGATTTAATAGTATAAATTTAGAAATTTTGATGGCCATAAATTTTGAAAATCCATTTTAGTACTTGTGGGTATAATTTGAAGAATTTCATGAGTATCAATCACAAAATTCCTTTTACTGGTGGTTTAATGTATTTTTCAATGCAGTTGCTCATAAAGCGCTATTTTTTTAAACCATTGTAAACACCGAAAGTGAGTCTTTAAACATGTACTGAAATCCTTTACTGCACACATGCTTAAAAGTATTTTTTTTTGGCCGAGCACCAAAGAAATAAAAAAAAAAAAATTGATGAAAATATGTCAAACTTTAGAAGCAAAAGTATTTCAAGGAGCCTAGAACGAATATTTTCAAATAAAAATGTATGACACGAAAACTTGTACAAATGTCACGTTTAATTTTAAATTTTTACCTTTAATACATACTTAGTTTTATTAACCTATATATTTGTTTTATTTCCTCACAAAAAGCATTGAAAAATGTAGGAAACTTGAGCGTAAAAGGTTTTTCGAATTCGTGCCAATGAAAACACGAGCGTAGCGAGGCCCTTATTCGTAAAACCTTACTTTCCGCACTCGTATCTGAAATAACTATTATTTGTACATAACTGTGCCTATATGTCATTCTAATTTGCCGAGTTCCTTATTGGTTCTTTTTGATATCGTTTATGAAGTTCATTATGGTTGCATGAAATTTTAATTTGTGACACACGTACCGTAAATTGAATTAAGTATAATATTAATTCAGTACATAACTCCAGCTATAAACTGAACGACGTAGTGCAGCTTTTTAAAAAAAAAATTCTACTCTATCAACAATATATTTCTACACAGGTACCGTATTGGGGCAGTCCGAGTGAACGGAAAATCCTTCGTCAATTTTGGGAACGTAAAGATCTTCATACGCGACAAGCGGCTTTTCACGTAGTTGTGACATCATACCAGATAGTGGTCTCTGACTTGAAGTATCTGAACCGTGTTTCGTGGCAGTACATGATATTGGACGAAGCTCAGGCCATCAAGAGTTCGGCCAGTATGAGATGGAAGCTGCTTTTAGGATTTAGTTGTAGGAATCGGCTGCTCTTGTCTGGTGAGTAGGAAAGATCTGTCTATGCTTACATGATGACATGGTGATGAATAAGTATTAGTGCTATATTATATATTTTTTGTCAATGTAAATGTTCATATTATGTTTTGCGTTTAGGATCGTTTTACAACATTATTATTTTAGTTTATTGTGTCTTATCTGTAATTTCACAGCAATTCCTTGCTGGGTGGACAAAAGGCACAGATTTAGATTTTTAATTCATTATTTGTCTAAATTAAAGTAATGCTTGATTCCTTAAACCATTTTGAAAGAGATGATAGAGACTGATTTTACCCATGGGTCAACTGATTATAGCAAAAGTAAAAACCTTAATGCAACAGTTTCTTTTACGTCACAACTTCTTGACAATGTAATTCTTGTCATCTCTTTTTAAGTGTGCAAGGTATAGAATTAATTTTTATAATATTTTTCTTTGAATAATGCTATGATAAATGTATTTTTTTCTCAGATATATATGAAGTTGTCATTTATTTATACAAGATTAAGAGAATATAACAACCTTTTAATCTAGTAGTGTAAAACCTATAAATACATCGAAATTTGCAACCAGATTAACAGTAATATTTATTTACATATTCAGTCTATTTCAAATTTGTTATATGAGAAACCCTATCATATATTGTGGCTATCTACGAAAGAATCAACTTGTGATAGTCAATTGGATTTGTTATCTCATATACTCTTATAGGCAAATTGATGCGTTATTATGAGACAGATAGCTATTTTCAACTCTTACTTTTATCATGGTTTCTATGCTTTAGTTATTATTCTAAGATTCATACGTCAGTATAGAATATTAGCGAGGTGTGATGTGATTAGATTTTATTTAACAAATATGAATGTCTACAGGTACACCTATACAAAACAGTATGGCGGAGCTTTGGGCGTTGCTGCATTTCATAATGCCGACACTGTTCGATTCGCACGAAGAGTTTAACGAGTGGTTCTCTAAAGATATAGAAAGTCATGCTGAGAACAAGAGTACCATTGATGAGAGTAAGTAGATAGCTAAGTAAGATACCACTAATGTGCAAAAGGCCACCTGTGCAAAAGGAAAAATTTATATAGTCTCTTATCGTCTGGAATGTTTTTTTTACAGAACATTTATCACGGTTGCATATGATATTGAAGCCATTTATGTTGAGACGAATAAAGAAAGATGTTGAAAATGAGCTTTCCGACAAAATAGAGATTATGGTTCACTGTCCACTTACAATAAGACAAAAACTTTTATATATAGGTAACTGTTTATTATATTTCATTATTTTACTTAATTAATTTATCCTAACATTATTTGTGTGTTGATATACTTGAAATATTTTCAGCTTTAAAAAAGAAAATAAAGATAGAAGAATTATTACACTATTCAGTTGGGGCGGAGGCCGGCCATAATGTAGATAAAAACTTCACCTCAAATCTTATGAATTTAGTTATGCAATTTCGTAAGGTATGTCATATTTGTTATTGTTGATAAGGTTCATGATGGTTTTTTCAAGACAATTTTTATTCAATAGAGATTTAACTCATTTTCTAAAAGTTTTGATTTGTCTAATTGGTACTTAATAACCCAAAATTTTTATTGTAAATAAGATATTTTTTTGTCTCAAATAGTAATAGTAATCGTGTTAAAAAATTTTAAACACGTATTTTTTTCGTAATCGTAAAATATTAAAATATCACCGTAATTTACGGCGATATTTTAAGTTGAAATTTCGCATGACGTCACGTTATGGTACGTTTTCTACTCAACTGTGACGTAGCGAGCTCCTACTCCTCAACTTTAATGTCTGTTATCTAAGCTTTTTTTTTGTTAAATTGAAGTATAAAAAAATACGTATCTAGTATTTTTCTATTATCTGACTGATGGACTAAATAGAATTGCATTTTTTTTACCCAGTCGTCATCCCTATTCTAAAAGTTTATTTAGTTTAAAAACTAGTTTCAGTGCGGTATATAGCTTTTTTTTCTCTCTAACTGCAATCAGCCTCTACGCTTAAATTAGATACGCTAATTTCTATCAATGTTATGAGAATTTGGCATTTTCAGTGATGCACCTTCCCCTTAATATAGTAAGTGCCACAATCTTTTCAGAAATATCATCTGTAAAGAGCTGATATTTGCGAACAAGTGACATCATGTACCTCGATTGGTGATCGTTGTTACTTATGTCGTAATTGTTTATTCAGAACTTCGGAAATCGATAACTGAATGAAATATTAGACTATAGAAATTTTGCCAATCAATAATGAGCTTTTTGTAGTTTCTAATAAATTAAATTATCTGTTATTATGTGACATTGATTTCCATTAGGATTTTGATCACAATTGATAATGTTCATTACATTTTATTAATAAATAATTTACTTATATGACGTCTTTAAAGTAGTCCTAATTATTTCGGATATTGTAGGTGTGCAATCATCCAGAATTATTCGAAAGGCGAGATGTGAAATCACCTTTCGCAATGCAAGTTGACGACTATCACATACCCAAGCTGTTAGTTGAAGACGGCATTTTGATACGTTCCATTCCTTCCAAACGCCATTTATTATTCAACATTCTATCCGTGCTGATACCAGAGCACGTGCATCGGAACGCAAACGATAGCGAAGGCATGGAGGATAGACAGGGGGTCTATGGGAGCGATAGATGTTTCGCTTTCACTAGGTTTATGGATTTATCTCCTATGGAGTTGTATAGAGTGATGTTATGCGGTTGGTTATGCGCGTAAGTAAACTATGTCAAATATTAGCTTCCCCGAGCGACTTCTCGTGTATACCGGTATACACGATGCCTTGACAGTATAATTATCCTTAGGGAACCTATTCGAGTGGGATAAAATTTTGTATATATATTAATTCACTTTAAGGATTATTTGTTAATCCAATTTCATAAAAATTCGTTCAGTAATTTTTGTGTGAAAGAGTAACAAAAATATATCTTCGCAAACTTTCGCATTTATAATATTAGTAGAATAGGATTAAAGATCTCTTGAGATTAATTGTCTGTTTAAATAAACATATTTTGCGATATCTAAAATTCATAAATGAGTTTCAGTAATTGCTTGTATAACGACTCTGTTGATTGATATAAATATTATTCCTCAAGAAAAGCAGTGTTTGTATCAATATTAATAAATATAGATATTTTCAGAATGCAACATATAGAGTATTGTCTAGAAAAATACGAGAAACTCAGTCATAGACAATGTTGGTGGGATAGACATAAGTCTGATGACATGAAACAGGAACAAATGGAGACAGATGACACACCTGACTATTACGATAGAGTGAGAAGCAAAGATTTGCTGTTGATATGCCCAGACGGTGATGTGTTAGGGCGAAGAAAAGAAGATAGTACTTTATGGAAGGATTTCTTGTTCACCAATCCATTGTGGATAGCAGGTATTTGTTGCCTACAAAGTTCAGTTTTGTATATATTGAACCTTCCCTGAATGTAAGTGGAAACCTTTATGGATACAGAGGTATAGGTAACACTTTTCGATTGGGTTAATCCATATATAATTTTAATTCAACAGATTACTATTTATTTTAATTTTAGTGACCATGTAAACTAATTTTATTAATTAATTTCTATAGAAAGTGTTTGAGAGTGATATTAACTGTTCTAAGAAGTACCGTTTTTGTAAATAAAACATTATTTAAAAATGATCTCAGCACAACCCAAGTCAGCGTACACGTCAACCAGTGTTTATTTATAAATGGTACTGATTGTTGAACACAATTACGTCACCATTATGGCGGCCAGGCGCATTAGCAATTTGCGGTGATTTTTAAAGAGGAATTTAAGTTTTAAAATTATTTTATTGTTCATAGGTGGACCATTCTATGCTCACTTAGACCACACAATACATTATATGCCAGAGACGATAGAGCACAGGGCTATGCGCATGCACAATCTGAGAGAAAACGAAGTGCAGGTCAGTGAAATCTCAAATAAATTAGGCTAGCGAGCGTATTTTTCTTTTATAATGAATATTAAGTACTTATAAATATTCATGTTATTTTTATATGAATTTAAATTACATAGATACATTTAACTAAGATCGCACAACATTATTTGATAGTTTTACCCACCCAGATATTTGTACGAACTTAAGTTATTTGATGTTATTAAAACATTAACCACTATCAGATTTATTTTTCTCTAAAAAGTGTTATTAAATGATGCTTGGTTTATTGAAATGTGACGTCACATGATGATCGGTAATGGCCGCTCGCACTCGGTTCCAGTCCGGTCCGATTCTTGTAATCCACAGATTACAAATTGCAAGTAAATTTTGCAAAAATCAAATATACTATTTATTTAAAAAATATATATAATTATTATAGTTTACATATAAGTTACCATTTCCAAATATTTCAAAATTATTGTTATAACTGTCAAGTAATAAGTGACTTCCATATAAATGATAGGGTGAAAGAAACAACAAGTCACGATGACAACCAGTGCATGCATGCGTAGTATTATGAAAAGAAGTAAATAATTACTTTTATCTTATTTCAATCACGGTTGTGTACTAACACTTTAGGTGTTATTATCTTATGATTATCTTCTATCTCACTCAGAAACATGTTTGTTGTTATCGAGTTTTTTTATTAACAGGTCTTCATGACAATTGGAGTTTGTTGTACATTCATAAAGTATGTTGTATAAATAAAAACTATTTTAAGTAAGTTGTAAATTTGTTTATTTAATTCAACATTAATGTTGTTCAGTCGGAAATGCTAACTGAAATAAAGACTGAGGAAGGTGGGGTTATACCGGTGCAGCCGACGGAAACTGAATTTCCTCACGTTGAACGCGCGCCGATACTCCGGAGGAACGTGCCCACGCCGATAATGGCCTGTTTGTACACAGCACAACAGAAGGTAATAACATTAACATATGTGAAAGGTAGTATAGAAAATTACATGTTAAAAAAATAAAATAAAAAAAGAAGTGTTATTATTTTTTTATAAGAGGTGGTGATAAAATTAATATATTGAAGAACCTACTTTTAATATTAGTCAACACCACGTCATTACTGAAATCCCAAATGCGTTTCATATCTAAAACAACGAATGTAGCAACAACTTCAGATTCAGAACAATATAGAAAACTTCATATTCCACGTAGCGGGTCTACCGAGAATCGAACACGAATCAAGACGCATCTGCCGTCAGATATAACACCTTAACGTGCTTCTTTTATTATAAATTTGTATACAGTGTACATTATTTAATTCGGTCTGATGCAGTTTAGTATTTGCCAATAAAAATGAGTACTTACGGCGTACGTATTATAGGTGTGTGCGAACACACGTGTCCCGTTCGCTGTATCACGCAGCTTCGCTTACCACGTGACCCGTCACCAACACGCGGAGTGTCGCGAGGGCAGTGACACGTTGACACGCTTAGTGGACGCCGCCAGACCACCAGGCGGATGGGCCACGTTACAAGTACCTGGTCAGTGATATTAGATACAATACTACACGTTCGAGTTGACATGACACCCGGCTCGGAACTTAATAACTACCCCGCCCCGCGCGTCATCCCACCGTCGCCTTTCAGTAGCGACAGCAAAACAGTTAGCGTTTATACGCGTCTTTGCGCTAGATTTTTGACAGAATTTAATTTTGTCGGTATTAGTTAATGAAAATCCTCTTGCTGCTATTTTTATTGGATTTTTGTGAGGTAAAGATGACAATAAAAGTAACATGTTTGAAATAGAGAGAAAATTATAGTAACCATTTAGCGTAAAAATTAACTCATAATTGTCTGTTTTTGCTCTTTCCGTCGACAAAGAACTATTTAAATTATTTTCTGAACACCGATGTCAAGTTAACTCAAACGAGTAGCATGTTGTTTTAAACTTTCATACTGGTTTCTTTTATTTTACGCGGACAACTAATTAAATAGAACTACCTTAAACGGGTTGCATTTTCGACGTCACGGGTCCTTTACAGGTTCCGTGTTCATTTAGTTTTCTTTTTATAATTGGACATAGTTACTCAAAAAGGATCCAATCCACAGATTGGTCGAAAATGAGTTATGTATACCAAAATGTCCATCAGGATCTATATTTTCATATAGGAAAAAAGCTGTATTAAATATTTGACGTTTTTTTCAATGATAGTTATCATCCCACATCTTTGGTAGGTTCATATTTTAGTTCCATGAGAACGACTCAAACTTCTTGGATCCATATAGTAAAATAGCAAATTAAAGGCACTAATCTTGGTTAAAAATCACAATAATAGTTCAAAACTCTTGAATCATTCTTGTTCAATGGTAATTTTATTAAAAGACTAGCTTTCGCCAGCGGCTTCGCCCGCGTGGACCCTTGGGACATGTTTAGTGGGATAAAAAGTATCCTATTATCTAAGTCAGCTAACACCCTATCTGTATACCAAATTTCATCAAAATCCGTTCAGTAGTTTCGGCGTGATTGACGTACAAACATCCAAACAAAGAAACTTTCACATTTATAATATTAATAGGATAATAGGATGTAGGAAGGTAATTTTAGATAGTGAGAATACATTTGACATAAAAATTAAAACAATAAATATAAAGAACCTTTAATGAATAGTTTTTACAATTGCATTTTGGCGTTTCAGTTAATTATTCTATTATTTCTTCATTTGGATCGTTTTGAGATTTGTTTTGTAAGAATAAGGCAATTAAAACCATAAAAGTCGTATATCAAAAAGGATCCAAACCTAGTTTAACCTTTATATTTTAATAAATATTGTTAGATCTGTTAAAATGACATTATAATAAGATAATGTAAGTGGTTTACTATTAGGTAAAAATATAATACACAAAAATGTTACATCAAGATGCAAATACAGCTTAAACTTCAATCGTCTATATATCACAAGTGACATTGTGTGGGATGGATCCTTTTTGATTAACTATGTCCAATTAAGAGCATAGCTAGCTCCCTTCAAACAATAGTTATTGGATACATTCACAATACATTATTGAAAGTTTACATGAATTTAATTATTATTATAAAATATTTTTAATGTGTTTACCCTACCACCACCTCCAAATTTGTCTGGGAAGAACTAGCGAAACAAACTCCGTCAAGAAATTCATTGCTCCCTTTAATTTTAATGTTAACAGAAAGAACTAACTGTAATTCTAAGTGTGTTAGACATTTTATTCTACTAATAATTGGATCCCAAGCCGGTGATATATTCCAACATTTATCTCTATTAAAACTTTCATAGTCGTTCGTCATCATCATCATCAGCCCTGTTACATCCCTACTGCAGGGGCTCGGGCCTTCCTCATGGATGGTTAAGGAGGATGGGACATGATTTTCCACGTGGGCTCGATGCGGAGTGGAGTGTATTAACGACTACTATGGGACATGATTTTCCACGTGGGCTCGATGCGGAGTGGAGGGTATTAACGACTACTGACTCAGCCGGGACTAACGGCTTTACGTGCCTTCCGAAGCCGTCCATTACGCGCGCATGTTCTTTACTTATATTCCTATATTTAATAAACATTAACACTCCATATAAAAGTAGTTTACTTCTATAGCACAATAAGGAATCCTACGTGATATCACCCATCCCGTAACCGACCCCTGTGAAAGTTCCTTAACAATACGTTAATATTGTAATAATTGTCAATAACGGGATTGTTACCGTGTACCTTATATTTATCGAGTACCCAAAATTTTGGGGGAGTATTCCCTGATCATGGCGCTTGCAACAGCCTGTAAGATAGAAGAGATGAAAAATATTTTCTCTTTAGTATATTTATTTTCATGAACTATGGTATGGAGTGACTGAGGTAATTATTTTAAATTAATTCCAGATAAGAACCAGTTAGTGAGTGATGCCGGAAAGTTGACGGTATTAGATTCATTACTGAAGAGATTAAAAGAGAGAGGGCACAGAGTTCTTATATACAGTCAGATGACCAAGATGATCGATTTATTAGAGGTAAAACAATACATTTTATACATAAACATATGTTATGCGTGATATTTTTTACAATTAACTTATTTACCGTACGTATTTATTTATTTTTTAAAGGAATATATGTGGCATAGAAAGCATAAATACATGCGGTTAGACGGTTCAAGTAAAATCTCGGCTCGTCGTGACATGGTTGCAGATTTTCAGGTATGCATAAAAACAATATAATTATGTCTCTATTTATCCCTGCAAATAAAGTATAGTTGTTGCCATGTCAATATTTAAGTTGACGACTTAGAATTTGATCTTTATATTTAAATCATTAACTTTGAATTAAGTACTTTATAAATAAATATGTTTTTAAAATCGTTTTTTTCACAGGCCCGCACTGATATCTTCGTATTTTTATTGTCTACGCGCGCCGGAGGTCTTGGCATTAATTTGACTGCTGCTGATACTGTAAGTTTATTGGTATTTCAGTATTATCTATATACAGCGTGTTTGGTAATACCTGTATAATCCCGAATATGGCACATACGGTATGATGAATAGAACCCAGAATAATGATCACTAAGTCTGAAACCCAGCACATGACCTAGATATTTAGCTTTTTTCTTCGAAGTAAAACTGTACGCTGTCAACCCTAAAAACAGCTGTTGTTCTAGGAAACGAGAGAAAGTGAGAGGTAATGAGAGAGAGAGAGAGAGAGAGCGAGTACGCCGGGACGGCACGTATAAGCTTTCAGGGTTGTAGCATATTAATTAAAAACAAATTGTTCAAATATTTGTATGAAAATCTCAATTTACGTGAAATTGTTTTTTGACATATCAATTGTGTTCTTTGTGCTAGGTTGTATGGCCATGTTTCGGGATTATACATGTATTACCAAACATCCTGTATAAAATTCTTGCGTTACTGAGTGAGTGACTGACTGACAGACAACGTTCAAACAAAACTTCTGTGCTTAGAAGGTTAAAATTTGGAATGAAGTTTCCTTAGGGAGTGTAGAGGAGCATTAAGAGAGAATTTTTACAAATTACAGGATGAAAGTTTGTATGAAACTTCGTTACGTTATCACAATTGGCAGCCAGGCGCATTAGAAAATTTGGGGGATTATACTTATAATTATTTCCATTATAAGTTAAAGTTGATATTTAATTCTTTAATCCTCAATTTGTTTATATAAAAAGTGAATTATTATCATTTATCTTAATTTTGTTTATCCCAATAGGTGATATTTTATGATTCGGACTGGAACCCAACAGTGGATCAACAGGCAATGGACAGAGCACACAGACTGGGACAGACCAAACAAGTCACCGTATACAGACTAATATGTAAGGGAACAATTGAGGAACGTATCATGCAGCGGGCGCGAGAAAAGAGTGAAGTACGCAAAATAAACAATATTATTGTTTGCAGATTAACAATTTATACTTAACTGTATAAAACAATAAGATGCTAACTAAATGGGTTTATTCAACATTTTTTTTAAATTAGAATGATTGTTCTTGTACAGGATTGCTACCATGTAACAAAGTACCAAGAAAGCTTAAAACAACATATCTTTTTTTTAGCCGTTGTTAAAATGTTGAATAGTCTACCGGGTATGGTTTTTATTAAAATAATCCTAAATCATATTATTAATTCAACAGATCCAAAGAATGGTGATAAGTGGTGGTAATTTCAAGCCAGATACGCTAAAGCCGAAAGAGGTCGTCTCGTTACTTTTGGACGACGAAGAAATCGAGCTCAAGTGTAAGTTTATTATAAACATTTAGAATATTTATTATGTATTTAGTATGCATGGAAATTTATATGTTCGTGTAATTGACAGATCGCCAAAAGTCAGAAGAGAAAAAGTTGTTTGAAGATAGAGAACGTAAAAGGAAATTGGGACTTCTACCACCGGTAAGTAATAGTACTTTGCCACAATTAAAACTTCAATTGTTTTCGCATGCAACGTTGTCTATATTTAAATATAGTAAATTGGAATAAAAATAACTGTTTTATACTCAATAAAATTATTAACTTTAAAAAAACATGCTTGGGTTTATAAGGTATAGCGCGAGGTCACTTTCTGTCCTTGGTTCATCTCAACGTCTTTCATTTCTATGTAATTTAAATTTTGAATTGTTGTATTCGATGGAATCCTCCCTGCTAGGCATATTGTATTGTATGTTCTGTGTTTATTCAATAGCAACCGGTACCTGTGGAGACGAAACGTCCTCGTGATTCAGTATCAGAACCCGGTAGTCCGCTACAAGTGGACGACGACTGCGATAACCTTGTAGTGGATGCACCACCGTTACCTGTTGTGCCTATGTGTGAGTACATGAAATACCTATAGTTTATTATCGTTAGCTTTATTGGCTGCTAGACTGCTTTGAGAAATGTATTTTAAAACATATGCTCATATTAAACCACTATCTGATTTATTTCTCTCTAAAAAGTATTATTAAGTAAAGAAAAACATTTTTATTCATTGTGTGTAGTCTGTGTCTCACGAAAAGATAACACCAATCAGAGCGTGTGATGTTATTTGAGGGTAATTTGGTGGTAAAATTATCTACAGAAAAGGCGGTTAAGGTTATAATAAACACTGTAAAATTGTTTTAACCATTCACTGAATGGTTAAGCAGATTACAAAGGTTATTTTTGTGTTTTAATTTAAATACTGCAGCATACTATGATTATTTTTTCATTGTAAAATTAGTTTAATTATCCTAAAAATGACGTTTCGTCCTTATGCGATTTTTATTCTTTTTAAATATTTTTTCTTTGTATTTTGTTTTTGTAACAATTATCCATGTTGGTTTATGTAAAATTTCAAAAGTAGCCGAGTGGTGCACAGGTCAATTTTAAAGGTGTTGCCATCTCTGAGATTCCGGGTTTTATTCCCTGGTCTGGCAACATAGATAATGGTCTGTGCTCTGTCTCGGGTCCGGGTGTTGTGATGCCTTTGTTGTCTCAAATACTTTATAACATTAGCGTTAGCTACTTATCTTGAAATCTGAGTAATGTATGTGATGTCGTGTAATATTAACTTATTATATACGATACTAACTGACGCGGCGAACTTCGTATCGCCTTATACCCGTTTTAAAAAAAATCTTATATACAAACCGTATCATGAATCGTGGAACACATAAAAAATAGAATCATCCAATTTGGTGCATTCGGAACTGGAATTCGGAAGTTAGCAAGTACATACGTTTCGGCGATTCATTTTTATTCATCGATATTTAATAGCTCGCTCAGACATTTTTTTGTTATTTTTCGATAACTTATTAGTTTTTTTTTTATATATTACATGCATAACGTATCTAACTTATTTATTTGAATAAGGATTAAAACTGTATCGTTCAAAATTGGTTCGTAAATAACCAATCACTTTATTATATTCATTTACCATCGCTGACTTTTTGTAGATCTATTAAAGAGGTACAATTCCACCATACAATGTTTTGTTATATCTCAAAAGTTTTTGGCAGCGTTTTCGTGGAAAGCTTTATTTTTTCCGACATATTGAACTAATATCGTCAGGTTGTACAAAACCTAAATTTACAATAAAATCTTCCTCAAGAATTGCTCAATCTATTGTTGAAAACCGCATGAAAATCCGTCCAGTATTTTCGAGTTTGTCACGAAAAGATAGACAGCTAGAAAGAAACGGCTGGGTACTTTGTTTTATATATACGTTACGTATGTGTAATGTTGCAGCGTACTCGCCCCCCGTGCGGTCTAGTCCGTGGGGCGTGAGTAGGTCCGGGCGCGGGTCGCGGCGCGGTCGTCCGCGCGGCTCGCGGCACGCGGCCACCAGGCGACCGGACGCGGCACTGGCGCAGGCGGACAACGCGCTAGCACTAGCCGCCGGTCAGTGTTGGGACGTGCTTGTATGGTACTCATACACTAGTTAGGGCTTGCAACCGACAGACATAACCGAGTTTTGTTGTATGTATGCAAATATTAAGGATCACGTTATAAAAGTGATATTTGTTTGGTTGCATAGGGTTAGCCAGTAGGTTATGCATGCAACGCTGAAACCATCATGCAAACCCTAACGTGTATGGTCTCCATTACACACACACACGCACGCACACACACACACACACGCACGCACACACACACACACGCACGCACACACACACATGCACGCACACACGCACGCGCGCACACACACACACACACACACACGCACGCACGCACGCACGCACGCACGCACGCACGCACGCACGCACGCACGCACGCACACCCACACCCACACCCACACCCACACCCCCCTCCCCCACACACACACACTACACCCTTGATAGTTCAGTGTGTTGAAGTACTAAGGATATCACAAAGTACCCAGTGCGGGGGTCAAGCGCTGGAAGACATGGTGGCGTTTTAGAATTTTTAATATCGATTCAGCAGTTTTGGGGCCTATTCGATTCAAAAAAATTATCGAATAATTTACACTTTATACAACTGTTTTTAAAGAAAACTTGAAAAGTGCTTAAAAAGCTTCATATATCCCGAGCCTACGATTTTTTGCAATCCGGGTGACTACTGTAACCAAGGAGCTAACGGAGACCCAACAGATCTGGAAAATTTTTCAAGCACTCGCTGACAACCTTTCGCTACTAGTGAGCATATTTCCATCAATGATAAATCCACCCAAACAACCGAAAGAAATATTCATTTTTTAAGTATTTGATATTAAAATAATTAATTGGCATAGCGAAATTGATCAAATATAATACTTTACACAACTATTTATAATGTTCAGTGATACAACAATTTTGACAAATTTAAATTTGTGATACAGGTGCAGCGCTATTGGAGTCTGACGCGCCTCTAGAGAGCATAGAGGCGGGGGCGGGCGCGGGGGCGGGTCGCGGCGCAGAGCGGGGCGTGCGTCGGGGCCCGGGCCGGCCGCGCCTGCGCACCGCGGCACCCCCGCGCGGGCCCTCGCGCCGGCCCCGCCGCCCGCGCGAGCCCCTGCTCGTGCCCCTAGCGCCGCCACCATAGCGCAAGGGTAATATACTGGACCGATTTCGCGAATCCTTTTTTTGTTGTGTTTGTTATTCTCAAAAGAAGGTTCTTATGAAAGAAAAAACGAGAAAATTTGAAAGAATATTTAACCACCATATACAATTATTTCTAATCTAACCTCAGTATTTTGGATAACATAAACTTTTTTAATGTAAGTTTATAGTGTGAAATAGGATGTAAAAATCTATTCGAATTTAATATTAGTCAAGTACCCGCAGTGGCGGACTAGGGGGTGGGAAGAGCAGGCCCGCCCCAGGCCTCCAAATAGCTGCAGCTATCCGCCAAAATCAAAATAATATCAAAAGAGGTGGGGTTTGGTGTAAAAGCAATATCAAGTTTGTGCTCCGAAAAAAGGGGCCCCGGGCAACGGGCCTGATTGTTAGTGGCGGACTAATAATCAACGGAACTTAGCCCATAATGAATACTTCGAACTGGTGAATAGGATGTTGTATTGTTTGGAATAGTATTTATAAGTGTTTATTTTAATTTAAATAAGCCAAAACAAAAGCATTTCGGAAAAATAAACAGGTTTACTTGCTTTAAAATTAAATTAAACTACCCTATTTTTTTAAGTAAATTAGCTCGTGCACCGGTTTTAAGGTATTGCTATCTCTGAGTTCGCGGGTGTTATTTCCGGCCGAATCAATACAAAAATGGACTTTTCTATATTGTTTCTGGTCTGGATGTTGTGATATATATGCTGTTTTAGATTTCCATGTTACAAGTGATTTAGGTACTTAAATTGGCATCTGAGCAAAGATTGTGATGTAATAACATTTAATTTAATTTTGCAGATTTCATTCAACACGAAGGGCATACTTGACATTGACGTCGAGATGTGAAACCCACCTCTAGTGCAATTTTGAATGTACAAAGGAACTTTTTTGTATTGAATAACAATTAAATATTAGGCTTCAAAAGTTCGAGAAACTTTTTTTAACTTGAGAATTGTAAAAAATCTATAAAGATTATGTTGTTCACTAATGTATAAATAATGGATTTGAAGGTATATATAAATAATTAGCGTTGGTTTCGTTTTTTGTTTACGTTGTAATTTATTTGATTTTAAATATTGTGACAAAGGTGAAAAATTATTTATCACACAATTAGACGTCGAACAAATTTATGTGAAGTATTATTTCAATATTTACTTATATGTTAACTTTAATTTAAATGAAATAAACATGTATCTTTGTTTAATGAAAAAAATCACTTATTTATTGTAAATAGAATTCGCATTATTTGTAAAAATAACTAAGATTATGTTGGACCCAATTCTGTTTCACGTTATTTCAATCACCATTTTTTTTATGACAGGAAAAGGGCGGGTTGCCATTTAAGAGAATTCAATTGTCAATTTTATCTTACTTGTTTTAAAGTGCATGTTAGAAGAAAGCATATCTTTTTTTTTATAGAATGTAAATTGTTGTTTTCCTCTGTTCTGTTTTATCAGCCTTATGATTGTAATGATGTTAATCTTACCGATTGTTACAGAATTGAGCCTAATGTATTGTATGTATTTCAACAAAATATTAAAATTTTGTGCTCGGAGTTGTGTACGCAATCCAAATAATACAACATTGTAACAAAGACATGGAAATGGTTGAAATAAATGTGATAACATAAGTGTTTGTTTTTTTAGGGTTCCATACCCAAAAGGTTAAAACAGGTCACTGTTACTAACACCCGTATCTATATTTGAGGGAAGTAATAACTTGAAAAAATGTAATAACTTAAACGTTAACCAATAGACGAGAATTTGAAGTTCTAATAGTATTCTATATAACTATTAACTGTTCTTACTTCACTGAAATCCTTGTTTATTGGGTAATAATATTATAATGCTTAAGATATGACATATCCTCAAATAATTACTTGTCTCGATTATACGGATACAGAGGTAAGATTCCGGTAAGATTCATGGACCGTGTCAGCTAGACAGTTCAAATTTTCACAGATAATGTATTTCTTTTGCCTATATTATTCCTAATATTATTCATACCTGATTATAAAGTTATGATTTTGTCTTTAACAATAACGAATTTCCATACAAACTTTAAATCCCTATTTCAACTTTTTTATCACAATAAGAAGCAAACTATGTCTTGCTCAAGTCTGTCATTTTTAGTGGGTAAAGTGTGAGAACTTAACAGACATACACAGCCCTCCTTTCACTATAACGTGAAATATTAGTAGGAAATAAATATACAATTCTCTTTGTCGCTCATTATATCATATATATAAATTCATTTTGACAATATGGCGATTGGTTGTCGTTGTGGTGAATTTTGATACCTGTCATGTCTTTAGTGACACTTGCAAGATTAAGACGAATCTATTGACGTAAGAATCATCAAAATCGGCCTACGCATTCGGTCTCTAGAACGCCACATAGAAACAAACATACATACATAGACTGATAAACACATTCACTCCCTTGCGTCGCGCAGTCGGGTTAAAATATATTTAGGTCATCTAACCAGTTTTTCTTTCGATAGGACAATGCGTTTGCCAAAACATGAGCTTTTAACCCCGTTTAAGATGGCAACAATTATTTTGAAATAAAATTTTAATCCTATACCACAGCAGGGACATTAACAGGCTGATAATGGTGATGATGAAATGAAATTGAACGTAATTATTTACTAAATAAGCAAATGTTCTTCATCCTTTGGAATAAATCTGTGTCAGTCCCCTGAAGCCAACATATTTTTAAAGTATAATAGAAGAATGCCCTCATCAATAGGGATGATGACTAATTTTTGATTGTTTGTCCGTTAGGTAGAGTGTTAAAAGATATTAAACACGTATTTTTTATTTTTTTCGTAATCATAAAATTACGGCATCTTAAAGGTATCAGCATGTGCAAGAAACAAACTTTAAAATTCTATAACGGTTCTTGAAAGTGATATGAATTTTCTTTCAATTTATTGCCGTTTCCTCCAAACAATATACATTAACACGCTTTTTATTACTAAATGTATTTGCGGCAATACTTGCTTTTTGACCAAATATAATTCATTCTCTAATTACAAGATTTGTACCTTCATTAATGGTTAACTCGACTTAGATAATATTTAAAAATAAGTCGGGGAAATCTTGCCGATGAGACATTAATTTGAGGGCAACTAGGAAAATATTTTGTTTATAATTTCGTAAAATGTAATAATAAATAGCGAACTGATTTTCTTGAAAAATGTTTTTGGAATGACAAAAGGAACTTGTGGCTACGGGGCGCAGTTCAGTACCCGCGCAATTTGTATCGACAACTTTAAATCTTAAATCGACACGGGTTATCGTTTATTAAATGGTCCAAAATATTTTCCTAATCAAAATTTAGTTATAAGTAACGTTTTAAGGGTAGGGGAAGATTGGCACCATTCGTACACTTTTTAGTCAATGATTTTTAAAATATTGATAATCAAAGATAAATTACTCAATTACTTATTAAAACATAAAGCATACTTTCTGCTCCTTATTTAAAAAGTTCAAAGCCGATATCTTGTATAATATATCAAAGGATTGAATTTTACTAAAAGCTTATGAATGTCCGAATCTACCCCTATTACGGGGTACAATCGTACATGGGCCGGGGAACATTCAGACAGTGTGGTAACTTCATATATATTAAGTAAAATAACAAATTAATTAAAAAAAATCGTTTTCATTGATCTCAAACTATCAACGATGTAATAAACTAAACACATATGCCTATATGTCGTTTAGAGTCTAACTATCTTTTTTACGAAAACCGTGCATCCATTCTATATCAGCGAAGCCAGTTTCATAACAATTTTGCAAACATTTATATTTCAAAACTTTATCATAATCATTTGATAGTGTTGTGACTTCCAATATCGTGATTCTGAAATGTGTTTTTGAACTTTTTCAATTGATTAGTCTTTTTAATAAAACTATTTGTTTTTTACTATATAAAAACACCTTTTACAGACGCAAAATAACTCATTTAATGAATATTGGGAACGTGTCTGCCTTTTCTTCTTAAAATTTCCGATATTTTTTCTAAATTTTCTGATATAATAATAAAACTTGTTAGCACACAGGGGGTTAGGGGGTACATACATACGCGTACGAATGTGCCCTTGCTGGAAATGTACGAACGTGCCCCGAAGATCAAGAATAAAATTATTTTTTCTAACACAAAACCCACGTAGAAAAATACACAAAATAGATATATTATTATTATCTTAATCGTATTCACTTACGATTAAGCAATAATCCAGTAAAATTTGACGTGTAATTAAAGCACGGAAAATCCAAAAACATTAACAAAATATTTACTATGAGCATGCCAAAACACTTTAAGTTCTCTAGTTTCGCTCGCAGTGGCTGCATGTGTGGCTAACTATACGTAAAAATATAAAGAACTCGAAATATAAGCGACACTGATGTATAGACTAGCTTTCCGCCAGCGGCTTTTCCCGCGCGGTCCCTAGGAAACTGTTTAAACGGATAAGCCTATATAATAGAAAATCTGTTTATTGCCAGTCGAGCGATATTCGTATATCACCCCAAACAGGACCAAAATAATAGATATTGCCCAACGCCCAGTCTAAGGGCTATTACGGTCGATTACCAAAATAAGGATGTAGGGTTCGAATCCCGTGTGATGCACTCACGAGCGTCCAATTCGTAGCAATTTCAAAGAGATTGTTGTTTATAGCGTCGTAATATGATTTTATCGTATTAATGTAGAATTTTTAAATATTTTTGTAATGTTTGGGGCATGGTGCAGTGGTTAGTTAGCGCGTTGGTTAAGCATTTTTCGCAATGGCCGGTTATAGGATGGGTGATCAATTTTTTTTCATTCGTGCTTCATTAAGCCATTGATCCCGACTGCGCCTGAGGTTAACACAATCATTTACATCAACCTATTCGTTCTTGAGTAGCGTAGTAGGTTATGCCCCATTTATGTGATTCCCATCCATAAGAAAGGCCTTTGCTCCACTACTGGGAACATAAATAGCCCGTTGATGAATATAAGACATAGACGCGACGGGAATGAGGCAGCTGATGAACTGGCACGTAGAGGATGAGACGCAACACCAATGGGCCCTGAGCTGATAATGCCTATCCCGGTAAGCTGGTTACCCCGGTAAGCCTATCCCGGTATTGGTAAGATACGAGACCACTCAAGTAAACTATACCAACAATACTGGCACACCTTGGAGACCTGCAGGCAGGCCAAACTCGCAGTACCCAGAGTAAATGCTCGTCTCTCCAAGGCCCTCCTACAGCTAAGTATTTAAACTTTGAATTATTCGTATACCAAAATTCATCAAAATTCGTTATTGCGTATATATAGTTCGAAAGACTAACAAACAAACGATCGTTAGTCTTTCACGCAATAACGAAACGAACGGTGGATTGAAAAGTTCGCGGCCTCAGCAAGAAAACAATATAAAATATAAGCAAAAGTAATTTTATTTTTCCACGTAATCTCCACTTAACTCTATACACTTCTTCCATCTGGTTTCCAACGCCTGTATGCCGGTCATAAAAAAAGTTTCTTTAAAGCCTTCAAAAAGTCACCCACCGCAGCTTGCCAGCTGATAAAATTGTTGTGGCTTTTTTTGGAGTCGGTTCATCACGTTTTTTCCACTGCTTGGATTGCTGTTTTGACTCTGGGGTGTAGTGGTATACCCAAGTTTCATCGATTGTTACAAATCTGGATGAAAAATCTTGTGGATCAGCCTCAAACATTTCCAAACAGTCGCGAGAAAGCGTGAGGCGTATTCGTTTTTGTTCGACTGAAAGCAATCTGGGTACCCACCGCGCAGAAACCTTAGAAAATCCAAGTTTATTGACTGATGTTTTGTGTTCGTTCATACGAGATGCCAATAGTGTCTGCAATCTCCCTGATGGTCAATCTCCGATTTGTCCATATCAGATCACAGATTTTCCCGATGTTTTCTTCAGTCGTAGATGTCATAGACCAGCCAGAGCGAGAGTCATTTTCAATACTCTCTCGTCCGCGTTTAAATTCAGCAACCCACTTTTTCACAGTCGTATACGACGGAGCAGATTCCGCCAATGTTGTTGACATATCTTCCTGAATCTCTTTTGGAGTTAGTTTTTTTTAAACAGGTATTTGATGACCGCACGTTACTCAATTTTCTCCATTCTTTAAAAATGCTGCACAAAGGATCACAAAATTCAGTCTTAATTTAAATACAGTTAATGCTATTGCGATAGAATTTTACAATTTGACAACCAGAGAATATACTTATCTAATGAGGTCATTTACATAAAAATAGTTTAAGTATTTATGTGTTAGGCCGCGAACTTTCAATCCACCCTCGTACTTACATCTTTACAAACTTTCGTATTTTGTGCGCAGGTTCGACTCGCTCTTGGTCGGTTTTTATTATAAATGACAGATGTGCGACCTATTACCCATTCATTATTTTGCAAGTCGAAGGTCGAATCAAGTCTTGAATAGATTGATAGGGTGAAAAATATTTCAATAACCAAGAAGGGTTGTATCGATGCTATAAAGAAAACAATTTATATATTTTTTTATATATAATATTTTTTCGCTTGGTGTGTAGTCTGTCTACTAATACTCGTAAAATAAATTAATGTCCTCTGTCTAGTATAATGTCAATGTTTCTAAAAAATATTTTGCATAACAGGATTATAAAAAACTGAATAAACTATTTAATGAAAAATGCTTAAAAATCCTCTTGGCCCCATTTTTAAGCATTTGCTATTGATAATATTTTTCAGTATAGCATTGTGAACGCGATATTGATCAAGAATAATAAATTTGTTTTTTTTTTGTCGGCATAACACTTTTTTCATTATTTTTTATGTAAAATTTGTTTGAATAGCATCTCATAAACCTATTTGCGGTTCAGTGCTCATTTAGGTAAGGCATAAATTGTAAGATGTGTAGGTAATAATAATTAAAATACACTGAAATTATAGTGAAAATGCACTTCTATTGTCTTGTTGTAATTTTAAAATTGAATTTCTATTTAGTTATGATAATAATATTTAGTTATTTAGATAAGATAATTCACTTAAATATTTAGTGTAGTACAATGTCTTCTCTCAA